ACATTTTAAAAGTTTCTTTATAAAAAAAATTAAATAATATATTTTAGTTAGAAAAAGATGTAAAACATCTCAATTCAAGACGATTGCAATGTCAAAGATTTTATTTCTCTATCGTTAAAACGTACAACAAAGAGAACTTAATACTCAATAACTTTTATTTTTGATGGTTTATGTACATCATGTATGTCTACTGATAAATATACTGATGAAAATTTTCATGTATTTTGATTAGAATGAACATTAATACAAGAACGCATATAGGTATTTTATTTTGGATGAAAATTTGATGCTTCATCAAATGATATGCCAAAATAAAGCAACCAAGCTTACGTGTAATGATTCAGGGTACGAAAAATATGCGGGTATATAGTTTATGTTTAGCCTTATAAAACGTAGAGGTACTAAATTTATATTAGTGCATTTGAATTAGTATTAATTGTATGTCAGTCAACAAAAGAAAAGGGTTAATTCACTGGTAATAAATAAACATTTCACATGTATTTTACATCATTTTGATTTTTGATATTTTTGCTCTCTAACCAATTTGAAAAATTGAGAAAGTAATTTAGATTTTAGAATTTATTTTAAATCTAACCCAAAAGTAATGGATATAACTTCTTGGTGGTCCTTCTGTCCCTATAATATGCGCACTTACAGCTTGGTTATTGGTGGAAAACAGGTTAAAATTGTTTGTCGACAGCATTGAGCACTTTCTAACATGTACTATTATTCAATTTTTTTTAGCAGGAATTGGACTTTCCTTACCATACACTGATTTACATAAACATGTATTTACCTGTAGGATATCAATCAATGTCATACCTTTCCATTAGGGAGTCTTGCTATTCGTTGAAAATACTACATTTTATGGTGACTTTTCGCCCTTAAAATGGGATGCATACATGTTTATATTCATCATTGTCAACATCCTTGCATAATACTTTTTTCCCGATTCATGTCGATGAAACGTTATATTATATAGGTTAAAATTGTTGCTGTTGGTAGCATTTCTAGTAATTTAAAATAAACTTACATTTTGAGTGAATAACAAAAAAATATCATATTATATCATATCATATAAAATATCAGTAATTAAAATTCTTGCCATATTTAAATCAAATGATCGTCTCTTTATCAAATTATGTATATTATAAGGATGGCAATCGGACACAGAATTACTAACTGGTTAACCGCATGCAGGACTTTCTGACCGATTAACCGGTTAATCGTATCAAAATGTAAATTTTCTTGGCATATATATTTTTCTAAATAAGGGAGATTATCGGGATGCATATTTTCTCCTGTGCCTATACGTATTCCATTATCCAGAATATGTGAAATATATACTTTGTACCAAAAGGTTTTATACAGTTTCATTTAATTTATTCTTAAATTTAGATAAAATCAACACTGGAAAATAATTAAGACCGTTATACTTTTTTCTGTAATACCTCAAGACTGAACAATTGCGTTTAAAAAATACATATGTTACATGTATGCCTGTAAATATATAATTTATCTTAACAATTTTCATTGTGATTATTTAAAAAAACTATTTTTTCCCTTTTTCTTTTTTCCTCAAGCATTACTGGGATATTTATTTTAAGAATCATTTAGGATAAAATATTTAGTTATATATTTGAGTGTCCCTGTACCCATTCATTATAGGCTGTAATAAAAATGATCCAAACTACATGTACCTGATTTACAGTAAGAAAAAAAATGATCATAATTAATGATTTGAAGATGTCAGAGCTCTTTTTGATAAGAAATACCTTTTCTATCAATTCTATCATTTTTATCAGATTGTGTTTCTTAAGAAACTTCGATCATCAGATTTAAATATCAATTATATGCCACTTTATTATAATAATAAAACAATGTAGAAGGAGTTCGAGATTTCAGAGAGTTCAGAAAATTTCTTTTCTTGAGAAATATGATAGATGAACTTTTTTCTATCATTTAATGACACATAAACTACATCTGTACACGATGAACTTTTTTTCCAGAATATAGTACACTTATCTGTATCTATATACAAGTATATCCATGTCAATTTATAGCCTTTTTTAATTTGATATTAGCGGTGTTACTCTTAGTCTAAAACTTTATCAAAATAGAATATGATTTTTAAAAAGCATGCTTTTGAAAACATGCATAATTACATAAAGTTCGAAAAATTGAAGTAAAAGGAAAGCTATCAATCTCATAAATAAAATATGGAGATAACGATCAGTATTCAAGCTCAAAAGTCCATTCAAACAATACAGATCAGGAGCAGAGCAAACACGAACCTCTAAAACATCAGAAATTGGATCAGATGCCATGGAGGAGTGAGCATTCCTTGCCGACCGGTCACACCCGTCGTGTGCTCCTTGTCATGATTGAAAAAAAAAAACGGAAAAAATCCATAGACAATTCAGTGTGTAAATAATGGCCTAACAGTTAGTATGAAAAATGTCAGTTAGCTTTGCCTTAATGATAGATTGTATTTACAGGTCATTGTATCGACCATAGGACTTGCGAAATAAAATCTTAGCAAGTAAAACGAATCATGAGCAGGGCAAAACAGGCATCCCTGGAAACACCAGAGGTAGGTTAGGTGCCTAAGAGGAGGGAGCATCCCATGTTGACTGGTCACAACTGCTGTAAGCCTATGTATTGATCGGGTATATGGAATATTCCGTAGTCAAATTTTGTATAAAAGCAATGACCTAACAAACGGTTTCAAACATGTTAAACTAGAAACGACCCAAAGATATTTTGTATTTACAAACAAAGTCTTATTTTTGAGAAGCTGACTGTAAACGAGTTTGTTGAATCTTTGTAACATCAACTTATTTTTCAGTAGCTTGCCTCGGTTTAAAAATGGATCGTTTTAAGAGGATACACCTCTTGCGTAACGAATCGGTTGGGAGACAAAAATACCATAGGCAGGTGATGATAAAATATTACTACATAAATAAGGGAAGGTGACGATGGAAAAGCTGAAGTCATCCCTTTTGTCGTACAGTTTAGTTAGTGGCCATTATCGTCTATAGTCAGTAAAACATTCATAAATGAAGCAGATGTGACATACTCCTTAGTGTCTTTAATTTTGAGTTCACTGGGATATATCGAGTCAACATATGAATGAGAGTATTAACTATTGTTAATTGATAAAATGTCTTCGATTTATCTAAATGTCGAGTTGAATGCCACAGCAAGAATGTGGTTGAAAGCATCAAAACGTATGACAGTTCAACTCTTATTACAACCATTCCTCTTGATTTTTTTTTAAATCTGTATGAATTCCCATAGGCACCAATTGTAAATCATTCGCAGACATGTTTTTGTTTTTTTGTATTCTTATGAAGCAAATTTCATCCAAAAACTTCTACTCAAGACGTCAACACTTGCAATGACCTTAAATATGACACTAGAGTTTATCGATAATGATTTATCAATTAACAATCTCTCGATCCGAGATATACCAGTGAACTCAAAATAAAAGACATTACAGAGCCTTTCACATTTGTTTTACCTTCGGATTTTTACTGATTACAGATGATAATTGTAAACTTGCATCTTATCTTTCGTTAAATAGGACTGTGGCCTTTCCATTTTCAACTTCCACTATTTATGTACATGTTGCAACATCCAATGGTCTCTTTCATTAAGTGCTACGCCTTCCAACTGAATCGTTGCACAAATTGTATTCTGCGTATGATCAACATTTAACTGAGAAAGGTGACTGACATTCCAGGGAATGTCAACAGTCTCGTTTTAAATGCATAGGATAAACCAGACTTTTTTTCATTTTCCTCTATTTCATACTTTATATTTATATTGAAATTCAATACAAAACCACCTAAAATAAATACAAATTTACTCTAATTTTTCAAAGTGCATGTCACAATTTACTTTGAAACTCAAATAAACAAGAGATAGAGAGGGGGGGGGGCAAGATACAAACATATATATAACAGATTTGGGGTATCCTATAACCTTAAGTCTATGGTTGTAATAATGACTTTATTTGCAAAATTAATTGGTCTACCGTTGGGTCAAATTTGTCTGACATGATTCAAACCAATTTTAAGGCCATTGTGTTTTATACTAATTACGACACGAGATTGCTCCGTTTACCTGTACAATAAAGAGGGTTCATGGTGGTGCGATTGTAAAAATTGGCAAATATTTCGAAAAAGAGACTTCAGTTATGCAAGGAAATATTACCCCTAACCTGTGATTACAATCATTCAAAATAGAGAAATATTGTTCTTTTTCAAATAATCTCTGTGTAATGACTTTGGAACTCTTGAATTCAAATATATGCTATATACAGTAACATACAGGTATGACATCATTCATGTAACAAACGTGAGTTGGGATTATACCTCAAACATATAGGTGCACCAAAAGTTGGATCTTTGAATCTTGTTCAAGTCGTTATACATGTATTGAAAATATCGAAATACCTACAGTGCAATTGACATAATTTTGTTACCCTAGATTGAAATAAACTACATGAATGAATTAAGTTAATAGTATAGCCAATGTCCTAAATATTGGTTTAAATCTTGGCTCTGTGACATCTTTTAAAGACAAAGATACTTTTTGATGACGTTGTTAGGGGAAAGGAGATTTATCGCTGTAACAGGAATCAGACCTGAGATCCCTGCATTACCAGTCAGGTGCTCCAACCACAGAGATGTATTACTAATCAGGTGCTCTAACCACACAGATGCATTACTATTCAGGTGATGCATGACAAGTCAGGTGCTCTAACTAGTCTACAGATATGCATTAATAGTCAGGTGCTCTAGCCACAGAGATATCCAGGCCAAAATCTATGATCCATATAGCACAAACTCTCCTTAAATTGTCTTTCTTTCCGAAGACAGTCAACACACATTATTTTGCCTGTGATATGACTTTCACCTGGAAGTCCAAGGTTGGTCAATGGCACCAAATGTAACAGGAAAGAAAATGCATGGATGGACATGAAACATGACATATCTTCATTCAGTGACATTTTAATGAAATCATATACTGTAGGCTGATTTAAAAAAAAATCCTGAATTTTAATCACAATTACTGTAAAGAACTATGATAACATTTTAATGACATGCAATAATAAAACTGCAACAACAACATAAGAAAAGAGAGAAAAAAATATGCTAGCTACTTCCTGTAGAAGGTCTGAATCTTGCACATGCATGTAGGTTATATATTCCTGAACCTGTATGTCAACAAAGAAAAAAATTGAATACAATTACAATACTTTTCAGAAGAAAAAAATGGTCAATTCACAGTCCTCTTCATATACAATAGCATTCAGTCATTGTCAGCAGATCAAGCGAAATCTACAGCTCATAAACTGTATAAAGTGATACAAATATCTGTATCATGAACTGTTTCATAAACTGTATACAGTAATAGAAATATCTGTATCATGAAATGTTTCCACTAAAATCAGTGAGACCTCCTCCCACTTGAGAAGGTCCAATCCACAACCGATTCTGGGCATAGCAAGATGTCTGACTTGATGTTTTAGACAGTGGTCTTTCATGGCCTCCAGGCTAGCTCTTAGACTGTCATATGTTGGTTTATCACTGTATTTAACCTTGGTCACAAGATAGTAAATATATCTGCCACTTCTGTCCAACACTGCCACTCCACCTGGCTTCACCCCTATGATATTAAAGCAAAAATAATTATCTTTCTTGTCAGTACATTCTACAAAAAGGACTATGAACAAACTAACAAAACAGCAATGATTTAAAATGGTGAACTGCATTTGACTTATGTTGTCATCTTGCATGGCCTCTTTCAGGTTAGAAATGACTAACAAAGGAGGCTCCAACAGGAGTATCAGTGCTTCCAACCACACCCTACCTTATATTAATTAATTGCTTAAAACAAAACTAACCTTGCTTTTTAATTTCCTCTACACCTCCAAATTTTTTCTTGAATAGTACAGCAATTCCTTTGCCCATTCTGACATCCTCACTTATACAGTGGGCGAGTGAAAAAGTGGAAGGGCAGCTGAATAGGTCTCCCTTCTTTTCCTCCAGATGAAAGCTCTAAAATATCAATTCAAAATCACAACAGCATAAATGTCATAGATACCTTCTTCCTTTGGAAGTTAGTATTAATTAAACGTTTACTCTTTCCACCACATTTGACACAATCTGAGCAAAACTGCAGCTGGTATATAGTGTAAGAGGGGTCCCTCATAATACTATAAATTTATACTGTTTTTGCTCAGATTGCCAAAACAATAGTATTTCCAATGCTTGATCACTAATTTAATGTTTTAGTTATAAAACTGTATTATATGTTCCCAGTTTCTTCCCCCTTACACTTTTTATGAGCTAGGGGTTGGTGTAATATTTCCTCATTCAACAGGTACTTTTCAGGGCTTGAAATAATATACATGGTATCAAATAAAATCTGTTCTTTGAATATGTTGCATTAAAATCAATAAGTTGAGACTAGAAATTTGAATTTGTTCAATATTATTTTTCTTGTCTTATTCTGTTTGAAATTCATAATGCTGCAAGAATTTATCATCCATAAAAATTAGGAAGTAATAAATGGAATGAATACTGTAATAGTACTGATCTAAACATCTCACTTAATGCATTCTTTATCTACTTTGTTCTGTAGCATGTTGCTTAGGCTTGAAAATATTTCCTGATTTTATTTATGTATGTCATTAATTATTTTTCCCCCGATAAATGTACAGAATATTCACAACAACTTTCTTTTGCACTATTTTGTCAAAGTAAATAAAATTGATAGCTAGAATAAAGGAAGATTAAAAATAGGAGCCTTTGGTTGAAGTCAATTCTATTTACCATTTTATTGGTCCCACCTTCAGCCATGGTGTCAGCTTGATTGTCTAAGCACTCTATGACATTAGTTCCTATACATTCAGATGTACTGAAATATATATATCAACATGATACTGTGAAATAAAAGAGGTAAACTCACAAGAGGAGGAAAGAAAATTCTTAACGTTACTCTTAATGACATGATGTAATTAAAAGAAAATATGAAGTTTATCAAATTGCTGCATACAGTAAAACTTGCTTAGTACGAACACGGATATTGCGAATTCACAGATATAACGAAGTTTTCTTGGATCCCCAACTATCTAAATTTAACGAATTCCTTATACGGATATAACGAATTACAGATATAACGAAGTAATTTCACAGGTCCCAGTGACTTCGTTATAACCAAGTTTTACTGTATATAAATCAAGTGGCAACTGCAGACAAAATAAGCTGCTTCTGAGTTGGACTTCCTTCAAATGAGATGAAGTAAATATATTCATGATTAACAACCTACATCTAACCCTTTATTCAATAACACAAAGTACATTAGCATGTTTGTCAGCTGTCACCTTCAGCAGTCTTGACAGGTCTGAGTTTCTGAGACATGCTTGTAATGGTTAAGGTAAATACTGGGACATACTGACACATGCTTGAAATGCTTATAGTAAAGTAAATACTGGCAAAGAAATTTAAGAAAATGATTGGTGTAGCTGTACGCAATAACTAACACAACGACAAATAAATTAATGCATTTCAGGTGATTTTTTTATTTAATGCACTGTTTATGCTTAAAATAATCAAGGGATTCTTACATTCATTTACAAGATTCACTCCTGAATTCTCATTTGATATCCCTAAATAAATCAATCAGGATCAGTTATAAACATACAGAACAAATTAAAATTGTTAAATTTACATGCTTGAAAAATAACTGATAAACATGTAAGGACTATTCTTTGTATTTTTGGATCAATTACTATATTTTATAACTTTTATTATTTGAGTTCAGGTAAGAAATGAAAAGTTGGGGGGGGGGTGTATTCTTGATATCAGGGACCTATATGGATTAAGCATAGTAAGTACGTCTCTATAGTGATCCGAATTCAGGTATTAAACATAACAACTGAACAATAAATGTAGAATGCATGAAACAGGTCGGCCCTCACTAAGGGTTGCACCTGGTGAATACATATCTGAAAAAAAATGACACTGAAAACTTGACTGAAGATGATTAACGTCAAATTCGGTGTATTACCATCTGAAACTGAAAGTGAATCTCGTGTTGACGTCAAAGAGGAAGTTTATACATGGTCGGTAGCATGCAAACCCTTTAAATAACGCTATTTTTTCCGGAAAATTTGTTTTAATTGTATTTTTTTTTAAATGTTATCTTATATTATTGACATGGTTATGACATATGTATAGGCTAGCTCTAAACACGTTTAAAGTAAAAGTTAAGGTCATATTATTCCATTATGATTTTTGTTTACGGCATCATGGCGTAAAACCATCCACTTTATATTTTCAGACTTTCTACCTCGTCCTATACCGTGAATCTTAATTGTCCCCTCGGTGGAATTTCACTACCCCACACTCCTAGTAATGAGTGATTCTATTAATACTACATGAGATGCACTAAAATTATTAAAATAAGCGATATATTGTAAAATAAAAAAAAAAATATTAATAATTTGAATACGTTATACACTGTATATGTAACAATATGCACATTATATACCAGACAGGAGAGCCCATTTCTACTTAATCATAAAATTTCATGATGAAATCGGCATTTTAAATGTTGAAATTTAGACTAACTTACTGTAATTTTCTTCTCGTGGACACTCAAATTAAGCCATCCGAAATGCTTACAATTCACCAGCATCCGGGATCTTCGACCCTACACCCCCACCACTGCAGTACCTATACCAAGGGCCTCAAGGCGGCCCACAATCCCTCTGCCTTTATTTGACTCTATATCAACTGCAAGCACTCCCTAGCTACATTCCTTCTATATCAGTACGAGCGAAATGCCTATGGTGCAAAAAACATTAAGATGAAAAATTAAATCTCAATTATAACAAAATTTTCTTTGATATTTCATCTAACATTAAAGTATTTTTTATGCAAAAACCTCCACAACTCCTCTCACAAAGATTGAAATTATTTGCCTATAAAATAGCATACACACACTAAAGAGGACAAAAAGGATAATTTTCTCATATCATAACACAATTTTTCGATATGAGTGGGTCTTCGTTCCATTTTTTGGAAGTTTATCCTCAAGTTTGTATGGAATTCCATATACGACAGCCAACTGCTTACTGCTTACTGCCAACTGCGAGTTAATTACTGCCAACTGCTCACTGCTAATGCGAACTGCCACTGTTGATAGATGATATTGCCTGTTTTGTTATCTTTAATATCTTTAATACGCATGCTTGAATAAATCCTATGATAGCAAGAATATTACAATAATAACAAAAATTGGAGGATTCGGGAATTTTAAACGGCGAAGGCGAGGGAAGAATAAACAGGAGGAAGGAGTATTTCTTCTTAAATATTTCCACATTTTCTGGCAGACAAATAATTTAATAGCTTTTTCTGACGGGGAGAGATTGAAGGCTTATATAACGTCAGAAAAATGGGGTTAATAGGATCCTGAGTAACATTTGTCGGTATTAGCATTTCTACCAGAAATACTAATGAAAAATCATAATACAAGGCATTAATTTTAATCCATGTAAAAACAGCTGATCTAAGGCAAGGAATCGATTTCCGTGCGGGGGGTGGGGGGTGGGGGCACAACCTACAGAAATCCCTTGACAAGTAATAAAAAAGGTCACAGGGACCATTATTAAGGAAGCACTACAGTAACTGTATATTATATATTGGCAGTTTATTGAACACACCCACAACCACCACCACCAATGTTTTTTGGTTTTTTTTTTAATCTAAGATTTTCCATTAAAACGATTTAAATAAAACAAAAAAAAATTCACAAATACAGGTACCTTTCATAGGGTAAAAAGAAGCACTAAAAGATATTACTAGATATTTTACCCTAGCAAAAATTACGTTATTATATTTTTCAGTAATATTTCTAGTATGAATTATGTTATTATAATATTTATTTATGTTTATATTTATATGAATTATATAAATTATATATTTAGTAATATTTCTAGTATAAATACATATACCAACAAATACCTACTAAAGGTTTGTTATTTTGTCGTATGTGACCCCGCCCCCCCCCCCCCCCCAGGTCAAAACAGCTATTGAATTGTTTGCCAGCAAGGACATGTGGGAATTAATAAATGTTTTATTTTTAAGAGGAAATACTAGTTCTTTTTATTTACTCCTCCCTCCCCGTCAAAATTCCTAAATCAGCATTTTTTTTTAAATATTGAAAGAACTACACACGCTAACACTAATTCCTCTTTACATATTACATCCATTTGACACTTGATAACTCATTTGAAATTGGTAATAAAATACATGTAACTATTTTTATTGTTTTTGTCTGTACCCCTCCCTCCCCCCCCCCCCCCCGGTGAACCAAAAAAAAAAAAAAAAAAAAACCTTTGGCATGAATTTGTGAAATAACAATTCATAATATCTGTAAAAAGAAATTGTTGTTTCACCGGGGGGGGGGGGGGGGGTGAAAATAGATATCATTTTCCCGTTGATTTATATAGTGATAAACACAAGTTTTACCAAAATTTTAAGTTTAACTCACTTCGCCTTTCCATATAAGTCATGTTTTATGAAAATTCACATAAATTTCTACATAGATATAAAAAAAGGTCATTCAAATATGTTCATAGGATTTATTCAAGCATGCACATAATTTTTAGATATTAAAGATATCAAAATACAGGCAATATCATCTATAAGCAGTAGCAGTTGGCAGTAAGCAGTGAGCAGTTGGCAGTAAGCAGTTGGCTGTCGTATATGGAATTCCATAAGTTTGCGTAAAAAATATACATATTTTTTTGGTTAACAAAAACATAGAGCAATGACCAACTATACCTTAACAATACACTTTTATGAGACAACATTTGTATCTTAAGTTTCCGTACAAAAAATGAAGTCCATTTACTCAAGGGTCATATCACAAGCATGATATAAATGCCAGTATTCATCAGGAGTTGTGTGCATGGAGTAGTGGTTAGCGTGCTAGTCTCAAACGAAAATGATACTCAGGATTTTTATTGCTAGGGTTCGAACCACACGAAAACCACATTATCCGGGCTTTTTGAAAGTAACAGAATGATTTTTACCGAGAAAATTTTCTTCAGAAAAGTTTTGTTTTGCATAATTTCAGAAATTTTAATAATGAGAACTTTACTCTAAATACTAAATTCACAAACTGAATATAATTTTTGTATATCTGAATCTATAGGATATTCTGCACGCCTTTTCACCCATATCCTTCCTACTGTTTAATTTCCTATTATTTTGAATAGGTTACTCGATCCTACTTTCCTACACAAATCACTTAAATTGCAGAGGTATCCGGGAATCGGTGCTGAATTTTATAGAAAATTCATCTGAAATTACTTATGCGTTTGCCTATTCCGCATGCTCATGAAGTAGAGTATACTCGAATAATTGCTGAATACGTAAAAATGCAACATTAGAAAAGAATAAGTGAGCAATTTTCGTTTTACTCAAAGGATCGATAGAAAAAAAAATTCCTCGATGTTGTCGTCAACCAATCTATTAACAGCTTCGTCAATTAAGTTTTTTTGTTTTGTTTTTTGTTTTTGTTTCTGTTTTTCCCCTTTCTATCCTCACAATCATCAATACACCTTCATTTCTCACGAAATCTGAGGTGTAAGCCATGGTGACCCTTTAAGAGGATCACTATTTATCTTGAAGGTGGCATTTAGCGGAGATCGTGTTATTGATAAAATTGCCCATACCACTTTATCAGGAAACAAAATGGCAGCCATTTATAATGTTTTAGCTTTAGGTGAGTAGTTTTTTTTTTTAATTTTCAAGGGCAGTATTTGAAATACCGCAAACTATTTAAACAACTATCTTGTTTTCAAAAAGTGTAATATTCAAAAGAAAACTCTATTCTTTGCAAAAGAAACACACAAAGCTAGAGGAAAATCCATGCGTTCTGCTATCCCAGTTTCCTCTTACTTCAGTTTATCATACTACGTGGGCCTGTTCAAGGATAAGAATATCTCGATTGTATCAAATATTTCTTTGATAGACCTGTGCTTAACATGCCACTCAAACTGTTCATCCATTTAGAAGCAATACATTTAAAACGATAGACTTACATTAAACAGCTTATTTACATTAAACAACTTATTTAAATGAGTTTTCAAAAAGTGTAATATTCAAAAGAAAACTCTATTCTTTGCAAAAGAAACACACAAAGCTAGAGGAAAATTCGTGCGTTCTGCTATCCCAGTTTCCTCTTACTTCAGTTTATCATACTACGTGGGCCTGTTCAAGGATAAGAATATCTCGATTGTATCAAATATTTCTTTGAAAGACCTGTGCTTAACATGCCACTCAAACTGTTCATCCATTTAGAAGCAATACATTTAAAACGATAGACTTACATTAAACAGCTTATTTACATTAAACAACTTATTTAAATGAGATGATCTCTAAATTCAAAATTCAAAATAAACTTTCCTTTCGAAAGTGATTTGTGGAATATGATCATCAGAAACAAATGTTTAGATTGATCATTTTTACTTATACGACAATAAAAACATACCTAAAAACTGTTAGAATTGTGAGAGAGTCATTTTTGTTATCATGCAATTTCGATTTAACAATGTTTTGTGTGGATGCCTAATATCTCAAAGGTTCACACTTATCACTTTAGTGAATCGAAGTTTTCGAAGTTATTACTATAGTTCATAGTGATCATTATAGTAAATCCAAATGTTAATGTGTCAAAATTATTTCTATGGAAAATCAAAGTGTCAAATACCACTATGTCGTATACCATTTTGGTATACAAAAGTTTAAGAAGTAATAACTATAGTAATTCAAAGTTTGAAATTGATGACTACAGTTCATAATATTCTGTGCATGATAAAAGTCTTATTTAATTTCAAAATATATGTATTATTCAGTGTTGCAGATTTTCTCATTTTACCAAAGAAATCTGTTGATGTCAATTATTAGCACTTCTAGCACATTAAACACATTTCATATTACATACGTATATGAGTTTGTGACAATAAATTCTTTGAGAAGGTCATTCCATGTTACAAAAAGAAAATTATGTCCCCCCATCTCCCCCCAAAAACGAGTTTGAAATGCATGCACTTTGATTTTTTTTTTTTTTGGTTCAAATCTATCCTTACCACAGACGAGAAGTTGATCGATATACTACAGTGCTGGTACTGAATTCATACAAGGGATGACATTCATTAATACCTTTCAGTTCTGCTTTATTCTTCCTTTGCCAATGCTGCCGAGAAATTCTGCGAAGACATCGATAAAAATGCTTGTGATTTACTCCAGAGAATGCGGCCTGATATGTGCCAGGATAGTTGTTTCGCAGATGTTTGCAAAAAGACATGCAACATGTGCCGTGAGTATACAAAATATTGGCTACACTTAAGCAAATCAGTATTCCCTTTTTTGACACTTCTAAAATTGGAGCAAAGTAGTTTATCAGATTATTTTAAGAACATAAAAAAGAGCACACTTGAATGTGAATAATTACTAGTACTCATTTCAATATATTCAAGAAAGGTACATTCTTTCTATTTAGAATATATAATTATTGCAAAATATCTTTTATTCTAAATTTCTAGTATAGAAATAATAATTTCCTTTTTCTTTCTTTTGCACAAAAATAAAAAAAAATACATATAGTTACCTCTATCTGTAAACTCACTAGGTTTAGTAAGTATACTTGAAATGAATTAAAGTCTCCAGTAAGCGATGCTCTGTTTTCATTTTCAGCTTTAGTGTGTTATCAGTGCAATAGGGAATTCTATCCTGAGCTGTGTAAAAAGAAAATTCAGTGTAATGAAACCCAGGTAAGACTCAAACAGCAGCGGCAGTTAGGGGGTTAAGGAAATCAGCAAAAAAGAAAAGAACGTTATCATATACAGTTGAACTTCGGTATCTCGAACACTGATATCTCGAATACCATGGATATGTCGAAGTGATTTGGAAGTCGCTTATTCCTTAAGTATTTTACCCCGGATGTCTCTCTCGGTCCCATCGGGTTTGAGATAATGAGGTTCGACTGTATTTCAATCTGGTTACTTTATACCAGTTCTCCATATTTTATGTAGAAAACTGTAGGATTTTGTGACATTTTCTGTAAATAATTTTTGAAAAATAAATGCAGAAAATATGACAATGAAAGACGTTAAAATACAGCATAAACATTAAGCACAATTTTAAGTTACAAAAATGATATGCATTCGTTATGATTGAAACGAGAAATAGAATGAATTTCCAAAGAAGTACTAGCTTGTGCTAGATATTTAGTCATTAAAACAGAATATAAAGTGGTGTGCATTATTCTTTGCAGATGTGTGTTGCCTCTCAGGAACTTTCGGTGGATTTCCTCCCTGTTTATGTTTCTGGTTGTATGGAAAAACAGGTAACTCTATTCAATCTTTCAGGTATGCGTTTATCAAGTTTCGTTGATGGCTTGAACGTTTTTCAGGGCTTTTTGTTTTCTTTGTTCCCGTTAAGTATCAACTTTTGTTCATTGAATGTAGTGGTATACGATAATGTGGAATGGAATCGTTGACTTAAAAAAGAGAACTTCGTAGAAAGTTCTCAAGACTTCAGAATTAATATGTACTTTCTTGTTGATAAATTAATTAAATGGCTGCATTTTAAATCAAAGTTCATTCTCAAGCAAGAAACAGAACTGTTGTGTTGAAGGTGACTAGTTCAATTTTCTTAGATTTTCCCACAGCCATTCAGTTCCCTATATGTTATCAACAACTTTGGTATATGTCATATGATACATGTATGTGAATATAGCCAGCAAAACTAGATGTAATTTATCCTTTTTGTTGCAGACATGCCTTGATATCTTTGGGGAAATCAACACGGGTGCTACAAGAAGATCTAAACTAGTATTCGGACCAAAAAGAGACTACGCCTTAAACGGAAGTTGTTGCAGTCAAGATTTATGTAACGAACACGATCCTCAAAATACCGCAACTGCAGCACCGTCAACTATAACAAGACCGACAGCTTTACGTACGCATTAAGTATCGTTGCATTTGAAATTTTATGAATTAACAATCTTTTACTGAGTACTCACTATAGCCAGGTACAAACATTCCTCCACAGATACAGATCTTTCTAATGGCCACATGCAAGTAACAATATGTATCAATGATATAATTTTTAGATAAAAAGTAAACGTTTTAATACACAAGGATAAATATTTACATCCACTGAATATTTCATAAGAAAGCCCGATTCCGTAAATCAATCTTTGACCCTAAAATTGTTAGAATTTTTTTTTATTTTAAAGAATCATCTGTATGAAAGATTTATAAGAAATGGACTCTTCCATCAATTAAACATACGTATCATAAAATGCAATATTATACGTACGAGGGGTGATCAAAAAGTTCGCGAACTAATTGAATAACTTCCATAAAAGAAATAAAATTAGATTTCGATGTTTATTATTTTTTAAAGTTGTCCTCTCCGATTTTAATGTACATCTGCCACCGTTCTGCCCATGTGCGAATCACGTGATCCAGGCGGTCACGTGACATGCTCTGTAGCGTTCTGTTCACAGAAGCTAACAAATTTTTCGGAGTCTTATATTTTTTACCATGCAACTTATTTTTTAAAACAAGAATTGTCCATTTGTCATAAATGGCCAAATCTGGGGGAATAGGATGGGTTGATAAAGATATCTTTTCCAAGAATGAGCATGGTGACCATCACAACCCGACTTCTCTGTCTTGGGTGCGTCGTTTTTCCATTGTGGATAAAGTATGGGCGCCTTCTTTTTATCATATCTGATGTGTTTAAAGTCTGAAGTAAAAGGTGCTTTAGTGATATAATCATTATGATATTCCTAAAATATTCAACTATATTTCTAACTGTAACTTGGCGATATTTTATAACAAATTGCTCAACTAAGGACACATCTTACTTTGTAAGGACACCAGCTTACTTTCACTGGGCACCAGAATAAACATGAATTTTAACAATCTCCCATCCTTCACTAAAACAATCAATCAAATTAATGATTGAACCTCTGACAAGTCTTTTGTCTTCATAAACCTTGAACAAATTATTATATGCTACTGCAAAGGAATTTCCAAGATATACTTTAAACTTTATAGCCGTTCGTTGCTCGAGTACGACTGAGTCAGCCATTTTTTGGTACAAGTCACCTACATATTGACGTCATTTTCACATTGTGACGTCACATATGGATGACTATTTGTGTGCCAAATTTCATTATGATCTGAACAGTGGTTTTGTTAATATAGAGAAAGTTCGCGAACTTTTTGATCACCCCTCGTACATGTATTTACACCCAATTTATACGAATAATTTGTACATAATGCAAATCTTCCTTGTTTGTTAATACGGGGATTGAATTAAAAATTTGAATTTAAAAGAGAAAATTATATTAACCACTTATGGGGTATTTTTTCTGCAATTGTCGCAACCGTTTATCTCCGTATTAACAAACAAAGAAAACATTCTATTGTTTAAATCACTCCCCGCAATTTAATTATTTTATAAAGAACATAGATAGATAAAAGGACGGTAATCATTTTTTTCTCTATTCTGTTAGAAAAATATTGTTATTGTAAAATATAATAATTTGTTTTAGTTCACTTATTACTGATATTTATGATATCATAAAGAAACGCTTGCTGTTTTATGATAACGAGATAATGTAGGATACCGGTAAATATCCACCTGTACAGATTTCTTGAGCAGGGCTCTTCCATCAATGAAACATACAATGATGTATATATCAATAATGCAGTATCAATATTTTACTTACATAATTCTACTTTATTTGATTATTTGTATAGATATAAATATAAACAATAAAATATCTTTCTTTGTTAGTAACGGAATTAATGTTGCAGATTTTGCAGAAAAAAATTAACAACAACATTCATATCACTTAAAAAGAGTGATATTGTCATGCATTATGATGAAATCTCTACCATTTATGATGTTGCCTTAGTGGATTTTGAAATTCTAACAATGTTTCAATAATCAATTGCTACACAGCGTTGTGAAAAATCATTTCGATGGATCCCTTATTTTATAATTATTATATGGAAAATGTTGAAATGTGGTACATGTATACCCTACTTAAAAATGTTTGTGCATATGACGTTTACTTAGTGACGTACAGAAATGTATATTTATTATTTGCAGCTGTAAAATACGACGAATTGTGTGAATTGTCAGACTTAAATACAGAAATGTGCCAGAATCTCTCGAAGGTGGACCGAAATCTCTGCTCTCGTCCATGCTTCGCTCAAAAGATATGTCCAACTACATGTGGAACATGTCGTGAGTTTCCCATTTAAAGAGTATAATATAAGAACTCCGTTTGATTCATATCAAAACAAACTACTTCACACCAATTTTTCATTAGCACGAATATATTTTTATTGGGTTCAATGATTAGTTTGTTTAAATTTGTATATATATTTATTTCACCCAAGGTTCTCCAAAATCAAAAATTGATGATCGAACCAAAAAAGAAATAAAGTTACTTTATTTCCATTTCGTAATGAATAAAAAATTTCTCTATGTTACCCCCATTTTTCTCAGTTTTGTTTATTATAAATAATCTTTAGTTTTCATTATGCAGCTTTTGTCAATAGTTCTATCTAATCATTTATTGAAATCATGTTACCGTGAAATAGTGAGATAACGAACAATATTCAAGCTCAATATCCATTAAAACAATACAAATCGGTAGCAGGGCAAACACGAACCTTCATAAACATCAGGGGTGGGATCAGGTGCCACGGAGGAGTTAGCATCCCCTGCCAACCGGTCACACCTGCCATGTGCTCCTTGTCATGATCGGGAAATAACGGGAAAATCCGTCAACAATTCATTTTGTAAATAATGGCCTAACAATAAGTATGAAAAACGTCAGTCAGCATATGACTTAATGAAAGATTGTATATACGAAACCCCCGCTTTAAAAGTGGGGGCACTAGTATATAGTGACAGGGGTGTACGTCCATACGTCCGTCCGTTACACTTAGGGGTAGCCATCCCTTATCTTAGAACAAAAGTCTTAAAACAACATCTTAATCTAAAAACAAAATATATTATGGGTTTTCCATAGCAAAACATGGACTTTGCAATTATACTCGATTAAAGGGGATGAACCCCCGCTTTAAAGCGAGAATATATAGTGATAGGGTTGTCCGTCCGTCCATTACACTTAGTGGTGGCCATTCCTTATCCCCAAATCCTTCTATACCACTGGATGCAATTTGATGAAATTTTCATAAAATCTTTATAACATAGTGGCATTGTGCATCTTCTATTTTACGTTTCGATCGGACACATATTTGAGGTTTTCCATTGCAAAATCTGGACACTGTCATTCTTTCTATAATATTGGGGTACTCATCTCTCATCCGCAACTCCTCTTATACAAGTAATAAATTTAATGAGACTCTTACGGACTCTCTATTAGATAGTGTCATTGTGCACCTCCTGTTTCACGATTGTTTGGGGTTTCCCTTAGCCAAACATGGACTTTGTCATTCTGTGTACACCTGAGGATATCCATCACTCCTCTTACACCACTGCACACAATTTAATGTAATTTAATGTAATTTTCAAAGAAACTTTATTACATATTGCCATTTTGCATATCCTATTTTACGTTTCGATCAAAACGATATTTTGGTTTTCCCATACCAATACATGGACTTTGCAATTATACTCGATAAGGGCGACTGAGATTTTGTTAACGCAACTCCTCCGATGTGACCGGTCGACAGGGAATGCTCACTCCTCCATGGCACCTGATTCCACCTTTGATGTTTTTGGAGGTCTGTGTTTGCTCTGCTCCTGATTTGTATTGTTTTAATAGACTTTGAGCTTGAATACTGTTCGTTGTCTCCATAGTTCACTATACCCCTGAATAAAATTCAATGGAATTTTCACAGAATCACATCAACATACTACCAAAAAAAATACACTTTGCCATTATACTCATATGGGAGGGGATATCACTTTGTGAGCTCAGTACTGACAGTTTCTCTAGTTTTAATTTCAAACATTTATTTCACTTAAAAAAAAAAAGAAACGACCCAAGAATAGAAAAGTTTGTTGTTAACAATATCAATAAATATGTAGTAATTATTTACTTTTAGCAAAATATGTATCTTTTTCAAGCACTGATAGGAGACATGTAAACATTTTTTTTTTTTAAAATTGAACATTTCGGTTGAAATTTTAGCCTTGAATGAGATTTCGTTTATTCTTTCTTCTTAAGAATTTCTTTGAGACTAGAATTCCAAAATGTTCAAATTTCAGGACTTTGTTACAAGTGTGTTAATGTTAATGATCCAACAAGCTGTGTCAAATCGCAAACTTGCCGCAAGAACCAGGTAATAACCAATAGATAACATTTTATTGACAAGTTTGAATAACAGATTTTTAAAGAGTATATGTACACCTACGACATACATAAAAAATATATTATTTTACCTATCCGAATAGACATGTGAGCATATTTCTTCAAACACAATTTTTCACTTAAGTTGTTCTGTATGATAAAATGTTCAGTAAGCTACTGACCATATATGTATACTATTTTTTTTTAAATAAGTGTACATTTTATAAACTTTGTACTGCATTTTAATGATTTGAATTAAATCTCAAACACATATCTTAGAAAAATAATAAGGAAACATATATAATAGAAGACAAAAGACATCTTATTACAATTCAAAATGTTGAATATCAATCTGATCTTCACTATATTGTCTTACTACTATTGCAGCAATGTATTGTTTTGCACACACTAGATGACAATTTCAATCCAACGTACAAACTCGGTTGTGCCGACGTTAATGTAAGTATTTTAAAAAAAGAGTTAACAATTATATTACGTAGAAATTAATTCTTTTCATTTCACTCCTGAAGAGGTACTTTGACATATGGTATCATGTCGTCTTAACTTTGAAAAAGAAAACATGTTTCACTTAATTAAAGCAATTTCGAACTCAGTACAGATTTATCTATATTTGATCTCAATCCTATTTATCATTTTTGATGGTGGTATAATGCGACAATTTCTTTAATCAGATATGCCAGGCTTATTTTGGTGGAATAGGAACAGCAGGAATTGCGGGTGTGGCTGGACGCAAAAGAAAGGACGACGGACTGGCCGGACATTGCTGTGACAAAGACTACTGCAATGGTAAAAATCAATAATCTTATTTCATTAACTGCAACATGATCTTGGGGATCCTTGTATCTATCAATCACAGTATAGACAAAATGTAACAGAAGCAAACAAACAAACGAACAAAAACAAAAGCAAAAGAAAAAAAGTTATGCTTCTGCAACTGATTAGAAGACGTTTGAAATCATGAAAAAGTAGGCACAGAAGAAAAATTCTGTGGCTTTATGTAATTGTAATATTTTTTAGAATGTCATATGGGTCACTTAAATGTCCTATTGCTAACAGTTAAAACAGTCTGAGTTCTTGCGTGACCTGCATATATATACTACCTCCTTTGAATATGTTTAATTTCTGTCTACGACCCACTCTGTCAGATCTCTCTGCAAGATAATATTAGAAATAATAAAACGTTCGTTAATACATATACCCTGAACACATTGATCATGATGTTACTTCAAACCGAGTCCAATGTCACAAAAAATGTATTTTTAAAAAATTCAGAATCTTCTTTTTGTAAAAATTACAATATTTTATTTATAATCATATACAAGCGTATGGAAGTAAAATTTTGTACCACTCCATCCCTTTTCCTCTCTGCAGATATTTCTATCATTTAAATTAAATTTATATGCAGTGCCAAACATGCATTTAAAGATATTTGCTTTTCATAAGTAGATTTTTTCTATAAATGTAATTTGAGAACTATTTATAAAATTTAGTGGTTAGCGTTTGCTGAGAATGCTTAAAATGCTCGTGTTCAATTGTTTGTTAACTGATGCTAACGCTAATGATTTTAAATATGCCTATTTCCCTAATGTTGATGCTAATAAATTTATAATATGTAGGAAAACAAAATAAATATGTAATATTTAATTATAAAAGTCATGGCCATATAAAGTTTAAAGTTTTGCAAAGAATTGGAATAAAAAAAGTCAGATTAGAAAGACCCAGATGGCATATCTGGAAAAAATACATATACATGTAATACTCAGGGGAATCGTTTATGCAACTGAAGCTCTTATATTTTATAAATCTGAAAGTTTATTGACATTTGATTAAAATTTAAGAATTCAAAATTCAAATTCAAAAATTTTAAAATTATTTAAATGTAATTTAAAATAAAAAATACTGAAGTAATTTTAAACAAGAATTTTTATTTACAGGTCCTCCTCCAACTACGACGACAAAAGCAACGACGTCACACAGCACCGCGGGAATGAGTACTGTCACATGTATGTCATGTTTCTTGTATTTACAAGATCCCATCTACACGCATCAAGTATATGATAATTAGCGAAGAATTAAAATAAAAAAAAAACGGTAATAAATTCCTTAAATTAAAATCTTAATTCAGGAATTTACAGTATGTCATCCACCTTTAACTTTTCCTAAAGTCACTTCAAGATCACATTATTTTTTTTTCAACTATTGTTACAGTAGAACTATTAAATCTAGTTTACAGCGTATCTGTGTTTTATGAAAATATACTCTTTCGAGTTTGGAGAGAAATTTAAGACAAATATCTTTATCATTTCCTATTAAATAAATATTTCTTTCATATATAAATACAGAAATTCAGGTAATAATAGAATACACACAAGTCAAATAAAATACTATATAAACGTTTTATTTTTTAAAAAATTAAATTAAATTTCCATGACCACCCTTTTTGTCTCACTTGAGCCGAAGGCTCAAGTGAGCTTTTCTGATCAAAGAATGTCTGGCATACGTCTGTCATCCGTGTCTCTAGACTTTTCATATTTTCGACTTCTTCTCAAGAACCACTGGACCAATTCATCCAAACGTGCCATAAATCATCCTTGGGTGAGGGGGATTTAAGTTTGTTCACAGGAAGTACCACGTTCTCTTTCAAGAATTTGTGAAAATTTGGTGGCATCTTTTAGAAATCTTCTTTTCAAGAACCACTGTGCAAGAAAAGATAAAAATTGAAAGCTTCATTACATACTCTAGATTCAAATTTGTTCAAATCATAACCCCCCCCCCCCCCCCCCCCCCGGGTAGGGCAGGTCCACACAAGGGGGTTAAAGTTTAACATAGGAATATATAGGAAATATCTTTAAAATTTTCTTCTCAAAAACAGCTAAGCCATTATTAGTCATATTAATACAGAAGTATCCTCAGATAGTGTCAATTCAAGTTTGTTCAAATAATGACCCCCAAGGATAGGGCGGGGCCACAACAGTGGGTCAAAGTTTTACATAGAAATATATAGGTGTATTGGCTAAGGGGCATTTGCGTAAAACGCGTTGAAGACTTCAAATAGTGGAATGACCTGAATTCCCTTTGGAATGGACTAGCAATTAAAAAGATAAGGGTTACAGAAAAATAAAAGTAGAAAAGTTATAAGCACTAGTGGCAAGTATCCTAGGGAACTGATGTTAAGTTCTGGATGTAGTACAAGATTGAGACACCCGGTTCTTATCTATCAATAGGAACCTAGAGGATAATGCGATGCAAGTAGTACGTTACCCAATTCCCGTCTCTAGATAAGAGAAAATTTTTAGAACTGTGTGATTTATCCTCAGAGCAGTCTTAATAATCATTCAAATCGTTAACATAGAGTAAAAGGAAAACCAATATATCCCTTCTATGAACCTGATAATACATGTTACATAGGAAATATCTTTAAAAATCTACTAAAGAACAACTATAAGCCATTATTAGTCATATTTATACAGAAGCAACCTTAGGTATTGTGGAATCAAGTTTGTTCAAATTATGACCCCAAGGGGTTGGGGAGCACAACAGAGGGTCAAATATCTACATAAGAATATATTGAATCAACATTTTTTTTTGTTTTCATCACTTATTTACATTAGACAAAATTTCAAAAAAAAAAATGCAATTCGTGTCTGTGGTTTTGTTTTATTTCATTTGTTTCTTTGTTTGGTCAAATCCTTATATAGAGCAAAGAGTAGAAATTAGACCAAAATAAATAAAGCAGTCCTTATATACGAAGAGCTCATTGCCATTCAATATTTTTTGCATATTTGTAGTAACAAACGCAACCCAGAATGTCACAGTCCCTGTTACTCAAACTACTGCTGCAATTGGTGAGAAAATTTTCCTTTAACAATTATATCCAATACCAACCAGATGGGAAATTCTTCTAACCACTTTTCTAAAGTGATTGATTCTCAAGACTTTTTACTGACCAAAACGATATTTTACTATCTTGATTCTCTCTCTCTCTCTCTCTCTCTCTGAATGGTTTAGATTTTCCACCCATGAAAGTTTCTTTAAGGCGGCTGCGTGGTCAACAAATTAGCTAACAGATTCACTTAAAAATATGAAATTTTCTTCTTTTAGCCCTAACCTACTTTTTAGCAAAGAAAAAAACCCAACATATTCCAGCTAAAATACTTGATGCAACTTTCTATATTTTTATACAGTCTAAAAATGGCCATGAGCAAGGAGCCCTCTTAAGACATATTCGCCTTCTCGTCGTCTGTCTTTCTCCGCAAAAGTGATACAGGATAAGTCTTTGTTAAAGTGAAACGTGTTATTTCAATTACTAAATTAAATATAAAATTCCTAAAGTAATGTTTTTGAAAAAGACTTTTTACAAAAAACTGATTATGCACGAAGCATTGCTGATTTGACCACGTTAAAAAATTAGACATATATGAACAAAATATTGCGTAAAGAAAATCTCTTTAAATCTCTTATTTATAAACAGAAAGTGTTTTTACTTTTAAAACCAGGAGTTATTCTTTTTTATATAATCTTAAGGGCAGAGGATACAAGCAAAAAAAAAAAAAAAAAAAATAGATGCATGGATCGGTATATATTTTTGGACTAATTTTGGATATAAATGATGCATATATCAGTTCTCTGAAATATTAGGAAATTGTTGACTTTCTAAGATGTTTAAATTTCTTCCTTTATGCCATCACCTTTGTAAATCTACAGTGTTAAAAAGAGTTATTAAGTTGTTATTTTCATGATATTTGATAAAAGTTTGTATTATCTATCCTTATATCAGGATCAATTGCAAACAATATTTAAAAAGTAATGAAAATTGTTGATAGAATCTGAAATTTTCTTCTTCTGGTGTTTTTCCGTTCTATTTATTTACAATGTTTGCAGTCACACTCCCAACATTGCCAGTCCCAACCCAGACGACTCCTGCACCAGGTATGAAAGCTTTTAAAAAAGTACGAATAAATTCAAATTAGTATCTGCAAAACGCTGATTCAAAACTTTTTAATTTATTTTACAATTTTTAGTAAATTTAATGTAAATTAGTTCATACCTTTTTTGACATTCTGCCATGAGTACATACCATTTCCGGTATTTTCGTGGCGTAGAGGATAGAGTCGGAGAGTAAGGAGTTGAACCTTATGTCGCAGGGTCGAATCCAGAATGTGACATATGGAGACCTGTCCTTCGGGTGAGACCATAAAAAGTGAGGTCCCGTATTGCAGTAGGTGCTATCACGAAAACGATCTCTCGCTGCTCAATGGCCTTAAGTGCCGAATGCAGCCCTCTAGCGGCAAATGTTGGCGTCCCAGCATGAGTGAAAATCTTCGAAAGGGCCTCTGGCAAAACAACTATTTCCCACATCTTCAACTCTAGCAGAGTCCGATGCGAAATCAATAAACCTAAATTCTCCAAAAAATTCATTGAAATCCCTTTAACTTTTTTTCAATATCATAAGGATAGACAACAGAAAGATAAAAAGAGAAAGAAAAGTAGCTTGATTGTATGAGAAAGAACAGAGAGGCACACGAATACATATTTAGATGTTTAAGTGGTTATGAATTTAAGCAAGAGGTTTGTCACATCCTCCTTTATGAAGAATTGTGGAATCCAGTTAAACTTTTTATTTCAGCCAAGATTAAGGCAAATATAATTACAATCAGTTTTGTACATTTGCATATTCTATGCCATATACACTGATGCTATAAACTAAATCTAAATTATTTCTGGAACAGACTATACATGTAGTTGCAAGGGTAGTGTAACATTTAATGTAACTCCATTTTTAGGTAGTAGAACGTTATCACTGTTAAATATGATATAAAAAGGTAAAAATATGACTTTTTGTATTTCTAGGAGAAATACTGAATGTTTTATGCATCATCATTAGTTATTTGGGTGATTATGCCAGAGAAACTTCGTTTTGTCCTTAATCCAAATACTGCATGCGAATGTTTGCTTTTGAATTTACTTATGAACTCCATTTTGTTCTTGAGAAGAGGACTTTTTCAATTTATTTTCATGCAAAACTTGAATATTCACTGTAATCTCATCAAACCATGGGATATGTGCAAACGGGAATATTTTCGAAATTTGCCTGTATCGAAATGAGTTTACCTTTTGTTATAGTGAATAGTGAAGGGGTGTCCGTCCATAATAATCTCACCAATTCAGGGAATGCGGCACTTTATTTGCACTGTGCGGACGAAACTCAGTTAAATTTGTTGAAAATATATAAACTGTTATTGTAGAACAAAATATGAAAAAAATGTAGACATACAGTAAGCGGTAAACTATAACCATTGGACAATGTACATCAATATCAAAAAACTCCAACAAGCATTTATTTCAAGACCGAGTTTTTGTCTCTGAATTTTTTAATCTTTTCTTGGACACTGGCATTTGTGTTACATTGCGTTAAAATAATTATCATCCTTTTATAGATCCAGCATGTGCAGATGTTTCAAACAGTTGTGCCATTGTCTCCCATAGCATCCTATGTAACACAAAGGATAACTCATCTCTTACCTACGCCATTGAAAATTGTCCCAGTACTTGTCACCTTTGTAAAGAGTATGAAGGTAGGTCATGTCATGATGATGAAATTTACAGGCATTAATTTTTCAATTTCATTTGATGCTTAAATAAATTTGATATGACTTTGTGAAAAAAGTTGATGAATCAGAAATTAAGTAAATATTAGTATGTAAAATTATTTGTGTTTGCTTCAATTGATATTACATAAGAAAATTGAAAGAGTAAAAAGATAAATTCTGGAATAAAGGACTCTCATATTTGTTAAGAGGTACTTAATCGGAAACATTCTATTTGATGATTAAGAAGGAAGAACGACTAATAATTTTATACGAGCATGATATATTTAAATGTCTTTTATAAGTAAGATACAACTGTATACTTGAATGTACGTTTAATTTGAATGTAAAGAAAAATGTATAATTAAGGTGATAATAATATAATGCTTAAAGTTTGCAATTAAATTAAATGAGAGTTTTCCCTTTTAATTATTGCCAAACTTTATTAATGCAATAACCACTCCTACATGTGAAATGGATTTAATTTACTAACTAATAATGATGTTGGGAATCTTATTTACTGCTTGATATTTTTTTTCTTTTCAGCATGGAAAAATTCACAAGGTGAGTGGATGATTTTGTGTGTGGATTTAGAAAATATTTTTGGTTAATTGTTTTCATATTTTTATTTATGATCAACTCAGACGCAATAGTACGATGTGTTCACTCATTCCCTCAAATGCTTTTGCATACACATTGTCAAGGACTTTTTGGCGGTATCATTATTAAACATTTGGAGAATTTCTGTGCATAATATGTAAGTCATATTTGGATGGTTTTCATTAATAACTATACGAAACCTGAAATATATACACGTACAATATCTTCGAAAAATATAACTTCGAGATTTTGTATATAATTCTATGGTCCCTGTTGAAGTGGAAGTTTGTAGACAACGAACATAGATCAATATCATAAATATAGTAGACAAAACGAATCGTGAACAGGCACCCCTGGAAACACCAGAGGTGTGATCAGGTGCCTAGGCAAGACAATATCAGAAAAAATAACGCTCTAGAAAAAAAATCACTGCTATTAAGAGAATAAAATAAAACACAGAATTTATGAAAGATACAAATGGATTCTGCTGGTGAACATTACAAATGATCTTGGTGAAAAGGTCCTGTGTGTAGAATGCGTCATAAATACAGAAATCAATTCTGCAAAGATTACCAAACATACCAGCAGCTTAAGTTATATATTATTTTCAGAACGTTTTTTTAAAAGAAATATGCAGTTTCTGACGGTTAATGATATACTAGTAAATCACGAGAAGGAATAATAATTGATTCCGTTAAACTTATGATGTCAACGTTTCAGTTGAAAGATTTTGGAAAAATGTAATCTGATAAAAACTTTTGTCCGTTATCCTTTTGGATACCTTATCCGCACTCCTCTTAAATTGCTGAATAAAATTTACTGAGACTTTCAAAGAATCTTTGTTACATAGTGCATTGTGCACCTTCTATTTAACTTTTTGTTACGTTATTTCGGGTTTCCCATAGCAAAACATAGACACTGCCATTCTTTCTATAATACTGGGGGAACCCATCTCTTATCCGCTACTCCTCCTATACCACTAAACAGAATTTAATGAGATTTTCACAGAATCTTTATTACACAATGTCATTGTGAAACTCCTATTTTACCGTTTTATTGGACACATATTGCAGGTTCCCCATAGCAAAACATGGGCACTGCATTTCTTTCTATAATGCTGGGGGTAGCATCCTTTATCTCAACTCCTCCTAAACCAATGAATAATATTTAATGATACTTTCACAGAATCTTTATTACATAGTGCCAATGTGCACCTCCTACATTATGTTTTGATCGGACCAGGGGTATTTGGGTTTTCCAAAGCAAAAACAAAAAAAACAAAAAAAACACGACTTCACCATTATAAACATATGGGAGCGGCGGGGGGGGGGGGGGTCATTTGTGAGCTCAGTGCTCACTGTACAGATCGTGGTTTTCAAGATACGAAGACATTCACGAATAGCGCGCTAGACCGCTCGGCTATCTAGGCAAGTCCAAAAACTTGCTTTCGATGCCGATGGAATTCTCGTGGCGATGCCCTACACTACACGGTCATTGAGAATGGAAGTGAGATACAGTTATTTGGACATTAGTTTATTAGAGGATCGTTGCCAATACACGTTGTAATGAAATTAATTTTTATTTATAAAGCACATTTTACAACAATTCTTATACTAACATAACTGCCCTATATATATATGATCTCACGTGATTTGTGGTTGGATATGATTTTTTAATCCAACGAGTTGTGTGTTTTTATCCCCGAGCCTTTGCTAGGATAAAAAATCATATCAAACCACAAATCATGGGAGATTCTTTTCATCACATTTTTTTTTACATAACCATCAATGTTTTACACCGTTTGAATATATAACGTACATTATTTTACTTCAATAATTTCCCGCGAAACCCATTTTGACGTCACAGAAGTGGGATATGAAAAAAAAATCCAATGAGTGATATCCACGGGATAAGGGGTTAATATGGATATATATAAGAAAAACGACAAATACTACTCAACACTTCCCCAACTACAAAATCGAATCCCGCAAACCAATATATTTTCAAACCTCGAAAATTTGAACCCACGAGGATATGTGATTTTACAGTATTAGTTTTCATCACTATAAATCTATGTATGTCAGCCTCTGTGTCCATAGCAACATAATATATGTTGTTTGATGACGTCAATCGACTCAATTAATGGTTAAAAATCCACGAATTATTTGAAATAACGACAACAATGCTAGAAATGCACATTTTAGATAACTTAATGTCTAGTCTCGCAATATTAAATGAAATTAAACGGGGCTTTCTCCTGACATTTCACTGCCGTGTATGATTAAAATTATAACTTTGATGTGATTCTTCCTTTGTGTTGGCTTGAAGACGCGACCTCTGTATATAGAATGCAGTGGACTATGTAAAGTTCCAACATATGATGTCATAATCGAAAATGACTTCGTCAACTTTGAGTTGTGATGACAAGAGAGTGTCATAAACTTTACACCTGATTTCAAACTGCGTGTAAAACATTGTAAGGCTATTACAAGATTTATTTGTCTTTATTGTAGTTTTTTATGTCAAGGTGATGTTATAATGGAATTATATTTTTTAAAGAAAATAATTTGTTTAATTACCCTTGATAAAAATTCGATGATTTAAGTACAATAACGAAAATGTATGCTGTGAAACGTTCATGGTTAGAGGTAGAATTTATTATTTGTACATAAAATGTCTGGAGCAGGTGATCAATAAGGATTTATTTAAAATCCTTTGAGGTAAAGTATGTAATGGCAATGTTGTAAAATTGATAACTAGTATAATTCAGAGTGGGAAATACCCTCAAATGTGTCCGTAAGTTGAAATTATTATGAAATATTTGCGAGTAAAGTTGCTAAAGCTTACACGAATAAATTATGGTTAACGTCTTATTTTGAATTATTTTAGTCTCTACAACCCCTGCAGCTACTCCGTTTCCCTGTGTTGATGCTCTCCCAAGCTGTTCGGTTTATGGTCCAGTGTTCTGTCTGGACTCTACTCCTGCGACCCGTCAATACGTCATTCAGTATTGTGCCCTGACGTGCAACCTGTGCACAGAATACTTCAGTATGTATTTTAAAATATCCATATACATGTACGTTACCAAAAATATAAATCAATGTCACAATACTCAATTACTTCATATTCTTCTCAATGATATCTAAAAACTATTCTGTGCTAAAAAATAAATATTTTATAAAACACTTCTCAATTTTTAAAAAAAAAAAAAGATCCTGGTGTGATGCATTGGCATTTGATTAATGTGATTTACCACACTAATAAAATTGACTGTATTGTAAGAGATACATTTGAATGCAATTAAGTTTAAAATTTGAGAAATTAATATGAATAAAAAATCGATATATAAACTTTTGTTAATAGATTTACTTGCAAAACCCAGCATTCCTTGATTTTGTATGAGTGAGAACAAGTTCGTTCATGAAAATTTACAAATAACATAGTATGTATACTTAAAACATTTGCAGAAATAGATGGTGGCTTAAATCATATTTCACTTCCCTCACATACAATGCGATTTTTCAGGTATACAAGTATCCATACTTGTCTGTCTGAATTGCTTGCTTGCTTAACAAAAAATACCTGAAGCTGATACTTGGTATAAAAATAGGTTATGATAAGAGAATATTTGTTTCAGAATCTCACACTTATTTACAGTAAATGATCACAGAATGTGTCTTGTGGTCAAAGGGCATTTGACTGGTGATGGGGGTGGGGTAGGGCAGAGATTGAAAGTGTAAATTATTTTTCATTGTCCATCACCTTATAAATACAAAAAACTATATAAATATATAGAAAATGAGATGTGATACAGGACCAAGTTCAGTCGTCAAAATTACCATCCAAAAGATTGCAAATATTAACGTTTTGTTTGATCAATGATATGAAAAATTATATGGTCCATCACCACCTTTATTTTGACAAAGATTGTCTTTCATACACATACAAAAAGAAAATTTTATGACCCATGTTGCAACCTCAAAATAGTTCTTGCATACTATTTTTCAAACAAGAACTATTTTAAGGTTGCACCAAGGGTTATTAACTTTTCTAGGTATCCTCATATAACTTATTTGAACAAAGCAACTATTTTGATAATTATCGGAAATTAGAATTGAAGATTGAAAAAAAAGACCTGGGTTGATGACACTTAATTAAAGTTTCATAAGTTGTTTTCTTTATTGCAGAGTACAAAGAACAACATGCGGCAATTAGCGGATAAAATTTTCTTGAATATTTTTTTATGTCAATAAATAAAATGTTTTTGATAAAAACCTTTCTTTTGTTATTTAGGAAAATAAGTATAATTCATTGAGATATAAACACTGTGACTGATTTATATCAAGTATTAGAGTATTAAACTTTTAAAAAGGGAATGTATTCAAATTAATGGTCTAATAAAAATCTATGAAAAATAGATTTGTTTAATAAATTAATGCATATCTCTCTCTCTCTCTCTCTCTCTCTCTCTCTCTCTCTCTCTATACGCGTCGCACCGTACATATTCGTTAAATGACACTATGATTAGGTTAGGTCGACAAAAGAATTGCCATCAGTTATTTATTTTTGCCTTACTGTGGGGGACTTCACTAGCGGCAAAATTCAATTGAGATATGTTTTGATAAGGATTAAGACATGTAGTTTAAATTGCAGATTCTTACATTTAACAGTATGATCTGGGGTTTTTTTTTTTTAGCTCACTTGAGCTGAAAGCTCAAGTGAGCTTTTCTGATCACCTGTTGTCCGTCGTCCTCTGTCTGTCCGTCTGTCCGTCTAGTTGCCCGTCCGTCTGTAAACTTTTCACATTTTCAACTTCTTCTCGAACTAGGCCAATTTTAACCAACGTTGGTACAAAGCATCCTTGGGTTACGGGGAGAGTAAAAGGAGAGATAATAAAGATGTAACAGAAATAAGGTGGGGTCATTAATAATCTTCTTCTCAAGAACCGCTGAAACTTATATGGAAGCATCCTGAGGTAGTGTAGATTTTAAATTGATCAAATCATGACCTCCGGGAGTAGGGTGGGGCCTCAAAAGGGAATCAAACTTTTATATTGAAATATATAGGGAAAATCTTTTTCTCAAAAACCACTGGGCCAGAAAAGTTGAAACTTATATGAAAGCATACCGGGGTAGTGGTGATTCTAAATTGTTCAAATCATGACCCTCGGGGATAGGGTGGGGCCACAATACGTATTACAAGGGGTATTACAAGGGATGAGATGTAGTGAAAAACAGTAGGGTCAAAGTTACTCAGGTGAGCGTTGTGGTCCATGGACCTCTATTTTTTTTTTTTGTTTTTTTTGTTTTTTGTTTGCGTGGTGTCACAGTAAATACAATCTTGGCTCCACTTCCTTAATGCAGCCTTAGAGATGATTACGATTCGTAAAACGCAGAGATATATGCTTGTCCGCTATATTACTCTGCATTTTCGTTACCTGTACGGCGCCTATATAAGCCGTTCTCTAGGTCAAAGTTCAGTGTATCAGTTTTCACCGGTGTGTATTCTATTCTACGTATTCTACATATCTATTGTTAAACTCTCTGTAGTGATAGAAGTAACTGTGTGCTTCATCCACGGCATAAGAGAAAGTTACCAAAGGAACTTAAATAAGTTGCACACATTAGAGCAGTGCAATCAAACACAAATGCACGTTAACTGCAATAAAATGTGAACGAAGGTAATGTAAGATAAGCAACACGAACACGTGTCGTCCATTCCACGCAGGTACCCGTGACAAAAAAACAGTCAGGTATATCGAATGCGAATGTAGTGCTGATATAGGAAATAGGAAAACTAATATGGCCTATGCCTATTTGTGTTCTGCTTTAACAGTGCTTCAAATAAGAAAGAGTAACAGAAGAGAACAAGGGGAAACTATCAATCTGACAGTATGTTGTAAAAAAAAAAAATCTATTCCGAAAACAAAGAGAAATAATATCAATGTACTTGAAACAAATTTTTGCTGAAAAAATGACGAAAGTTAACAATTTATATTTTTCTCGTAAAACGTAATTTATTAAAAAAATCAAAATCCAACTTGGATTTATATATATATATATATATATATATATATATATATATATATATATATATATATATATATATATATATATATATATATATATATATATATATATATATATATATATATATGTATCAATTGTTTCATCAACTTGTTTGTCAATAACTTACCTCGTTTTAGAAATTGTTCATACGTAGCACATGCTCTTGTGTATCGAATATTTGTGAAATCAACCATTCATTTGATTAAATGAAACTTAGAATCTCGAACACGCATCTGTGAGTTCGATTGCATTTTGCTTTAGCGCAGCTTCCTACATGGTTAAATTTTCAGATGTGGATAACCCTGGAGTAGGCTATGATCTAAAAGATCAGCGGAGGGGATCTTTTTTATGTAGTCTTTGGTGTCCTTGAGATTGGTTGACAATTTCTCTATTAAAGTTGTTTACAATATGAAAGTAGTCTTTAGAAGCATAACTTTCAAAGAAACAAAGTTCATTAGATGCGGATGTGATTTAAACTTGTTTATTGACTTAAGGTAGGAATAAATCAAAGGAGACATTTTGAATTCTGTATTGGGGATTAATTCCAAGGGTTTTAATTTTCACGTTTTTCTCTCAGCTGACACGATCGCAGTTCGCGTAACTGAGGTAAAAAGAATTTTAAAAAAAAATTGTCAAACCACCTACAACGGCAATATTTAAATAAAAAGAAGACACAAGTTCCGTTTAATTGCTTTAACGATAAATGTCGAATTACTTCCCTGCTTGCTATTAAAATAAGTGGTGTTGTACTACTCCCACAGTTGCTATTCCAAGGCAAAACTGGTACATGTACATGTTACGTAAAATTCTCTTTTCAAAAAAGAGAACCATGTAAGCCATCAGAGGGAAAATCTTCAACATGGTCAATGCGTTATTTCGACGATATAATATTATCCCGTATCAAAGGAAGTCCGAGAGTTATTTGAATAAATAGAATTTGAATGAAAAAAACTTGGATACCCAAACTGTCGATAAAATTAGGTGACAAGTGCTAGGGCAGGGTAATGTTATGACCCTCTGGTAATGAACACGATCCTTGTTTTTTTTTTTTATAGCGTTGGCTATTTAATCGGTATTTAATGAAAAATACAAGTCAATAACTGCAATATAAATCTCAGAAAACGTGGTAATTAAAATATAATTAAATGACGTGTACAACTTGTAATTAGTAAATGACTGCTTGATATACCCACCGGTAGCCTGTACTCATATTCTCCCCACCACAAAAAAGAGGAACATGATTTAATCTTATTCACTGTCTCTTTGAATTTATTAAGAACTTGAATACAGGGAATATTTACACCGCGAGTTATTTTCCCCTATAGAGTATTAGGTTAATTTTGACCGTTACAACTCTTACGTCTCTCTGTTTTGTAAAGATAAGGGTCCCATCAAATTCAAATTGCAGCACTGTTGACTTGTTTCCCTATACTATCGACATTTACGTTGTAACCATGTGGAAAAGAGCAGTGCCTGGTATAATTAGGGTCTTCCGTCTCCAACGGAAGACCCTTCTATTATTCTATTGTTTCTTTTTCACTTTTATTATTATTAAGGTCTTTCGTCTTCACGGAAGACCTTATAGTGATTCTACTGTTTCTTATTATTAAGGTCTTCCGACTTCCTTCGGAAGACCTTATTGTTTTCCATCTGTTTTCTATTATTATTATTATTATTATTATTCTTTTTTCATAGTACGGCCGATATCTCAGCTGTTAGTGGACGGGTTTCAAAGATTTTTTCAGGGAAGATGCATCGTGAGAATATCTCCAGACGTGTTTTTCATTTTTTGAAAAATCAATTCCGTTCGCGATTTTTGGGGAAATTTGTTTTTTTAAAATGGAATTTTGTCCGTTAATTTTCTCGAGAACGGCTAAAGATATGAAATTGAAACTCACTGACGTGATAGAGCATCAAATGGAGATATGGTGATCGACCTTTATTTTTCGTCGTTCGGACTTCCGGTCGCGAACGGAAGTGAATTCAAAAATGTTAAATTTGCAACTTTTTTGTTTTTCAATATTTTTCTTTGATATTTACAGGGTTAATAGAAAGTCTTCCAAGAATTCTATGTATGGTTTCATCATTTTGATTGATGCATTCATTGCAAAGATATGACCGATCCAAACTTTGTCGTATGTTGCGGGTTCGAATCCTGCTGGGGCGGGAGATTGTTTCTCTCTTTTTTCAGTTATAAATAATATTTTTCTCCGTGAAGACATGTATGATAGTTTTTGCTTATTTTTTAAAGCTTTGTTAACAGAGATTCTACAGAAATCCTTTAATAATTATGATCTAAGTTGAAAGACTGTGTTATATAAACGCAAACGAAAAATACCTTCAATAAAGTATTAAATGAAGTGAGATAGCATAGCGTTCTGGAGAAAAGTTCGGTCGGAAGACCACTTGTTGCCCTAGCAACAAGAAACGCATCTAGTTATTCTTATTTTTTAGACAAATTTTGTGCACGCAATATCTCGAGAACTATTCAGTGGTTTTACATCAATCTTTCAGGGATAATGCGCTTTAAAATGCCATTGTTACATTTGAAAGAATTTTGGAGAAATTCGCTTCCGGTTCCAAGTTATGGACATTTTTCTGATTTTGAAATGACATTTTATCCGCGCGAGATCTAAAGAACGGCTAAAGATATGAACTGGAGACTTGTTGGAGAGCATAGAACATGACTTCTAGATATGCGGGTTTGCCTTTTCGTGCGTCGTGAGTACTTCCGGTCGCTACCGGAAGCGAATTAGAAAAGTCAATTTTTTCAACTTTTACGTTTTTCAATATTTTTCTTTGATTTTAATAGGGTTAATAGAGACTCTTATTTTAATGCATAACATATAATTTGTTTTTAAAATTGTCTACCAGAATACATTTAGAAAATAGATTTTTTAGACAAATCTTGTGCACGCAATATCTCGAGAACTATTCAGTGATTTTCCATCAAACTTTTAGGGATAATGCGCTATAAAATGCCATTGTTACATTTGAAAGAATTTTGGAAAAATTCGTTTCCGGTTCCAAGTTATGGACATTTTCTGATTTTGAAATGAAATTTTATCCGCGCGAGATCTAAAGAACGGCTAAAGATATGAATTGGAGAATTGTTGGAGAGCATTGAACATGACTTCTAAATATGCGGGTTTGCCTTTTCGTGCGTCGTGAGTACTTGTCGCTACCGGAAGCGAATTAAAAAAGTCAATTTTTTCAACTTGTACGTTTTTCTATATTTTTCTTTGATTTTAGTAGGGTTATATTCCTTTTTAGATGTAAGTTACCGAACATAATAGGTATCAGATTCCTGGAGCGTCATATGGTGTTTTGTTGCAAAACATTCAGGACTTTTCATTAATGTGTCACTAATTGGAATAGTCCACTTTGGGGGTTAAGAGGAATATAAAATGTGTAAGAAAACTTAGCGCTGCCTTTATGTTACTTGCCCGTATACGATATGTTATATGTACAGTGTGATAAATAAACATTCTTGGGCTCGAAAATCAGGCTATATCAACATTTTTTTTTTTAAATTTCCTTGAAGTTATCACGTACATTTATTCAATTGAAGACACATTTCAAAGAAAAGGTGCGAAGATTTACTCGTGACGTTTGGCGCGAAATAATGTATCTTGACCCGCCTTTCACAAGTGGTCTGATGCAGTAGTGTAGAAGTACAGAAAAAGATTACACGGACATGTCTGTATTTGGAATTGCATAGAATAGAAAGCTGAATGCATAAAGAATAAAGGAAGTAAAAACAATAGTTTTTTTTTAGTTTTTATCAGTAAGAGATTGTTTTCTCTGCTATCAGTTATTGTTAAAACTCAAGTAACAAATCCGATGTAATCTACTAGCACTTGCACAAAATTTAGCTGGCTAGTTTTCATCCTATAATTCCGCACTATAAGAAAAAAAATAATAATCTGCCTGACACTCGTTACTTCAGGGAATGAGTGCAAGGTAAACATCGATGATGGCTGGTACATTGCGCTAGTGTAGTGGTTTCAATATTAAAGAACAAGGTTCACTTAGGGCCTTTTTTGGCCCTCTGAATTTCAGAAAAACTGAAACTGCTTGGTTTTAGTTGACGATGCATTAAATATCATTTAGACCTTTGATGACTGCGTATCTATAAAAAATGACGTAATTTTCTGGCTAGCCTATGCATTAAGACGTCATGAAATGCGTCATTTTCCTCGTATCCTGAAAATTTCTACAAAACAGCCAATTTTTAAAGCTATTTTTCGATATTTAATATAGGACGTAACCTGTGATCTTAAATATGCAACTATTAAATGATAGAAGTATTTCTGAGGATTACAAAACCTGTTTTATTTTTTTAAATCAGAGGATGCGCTCATATTATTTCTCTTCTTTTTTTTAAACTAAAACTTGCATCACTTTATTGCATCTCTTTCGCTGTTTTAAAATATGTTAGTTTCCACCGGAATTAATCGTCAACTTCCGGTCTATTGCTCGGCAACAGTAAACGACTGAAGTCTAAAACTTTCAGGACTGATAGTCAGTCATCAGTTTATTTGAATCGTGACAAAATCTTGTATCGCCGTTACTTCCGATCGTGAAAGAAAGTGATGCAAAAAAGTGAATAGTTAATGGTTAGCACGTTGGATTTTCAGGCTGACGACCAGGGTTAAATCTCCAGAGTGTCTGAATTTCTTTTATCACTTTTCAGCTTGAGTTTTTTTTTTCAGAATCGGACGGAAGACCTCTCATTGCTCGCAATGAGTTTCTAGTTATTATTATTTTTTTCTGTCCAAATTTTGTGCAGACGATTTCTCAGAGGTGGTTGGATGGATTCACTTGAAATTTTCAGAGATGATGTATCATGATCTAAACCTTATTCATTTTTTTTATTTTTTGGAAATTCACTTCCGGTCGGAAGTTATCGCCCTTTAATCGAATTTTTAGTGACCATTTTGTCTACACAAAAACTCAAAAACGACAAAAGCTAGAGTGCTGAAATTTTCAGTGATAATAGAGGACATGTTCTAGTTGTGCACCTCAGTTTTCAAATTTTCTGAAAGTGCCTAGTATGGAAGCTCGGTAGGGGTCAAAATTTAGGACATGAATCAGGAGTGAATTTTCGAGACATTTTTTATCATATCTTCAAAACTATGAATATTTTCTTAAAACACATTGAACAGAAATTGTGCAGAATTACTAGATCTTTTATATGATATCAAGAAAAAAGGGCTGACTCATCACATTAGGGGCCAAAAGGCGCAAAAAGTCTTAAATCCATAACTCTTTAACGATCAATATTTTGTTATACATTACTGAAGCAAAAATGTTTATCTGAACAATATACAACTATATATTATAATAAAAATCTCATATGTCACATAATTAGGGGCCATAAGGGGCCAGAATGCTAAATCTTTGACGCTTTATATCTCGAAAGTGGGAAATATTTTGATAAGCAATATTGAACAAAAGATGTTCAAAATAATGTTCTAAACAATATCCAACCTTTCAATATTTGCTAAACATCCCCATTAAGGAGTTGAAGGGCCAACCCCTAAATATTTCTTTTGCATATATCTCAGTAACGAAAAAGAATTTCTGAATAGTTGTTGAACAAAATGTGTTCAAAATCATAAGAGCTTTAAGGTGAAATCAAGAAAAAGGGGCTGGCCCCTCAAAATCGGGGCCGAGAGGGGCCGAAAGTCTTTCATCAATAACTCTTTAACGATCAATATTTTGTAAAATATTACTGCAGCAAAAATGTTTATCTGGGCAAACTACAACTATATATTATGTTATTCAAATCACATGTTACATAATTAGGGGTCATGAAGGGCAGAAATACTAAATCTTTGACGCTTTATATCTAGAAAGTGGGAAATATTTTGCTAAGCAATATTGAATAAAAGATGTTCACAATAATGTTCTGAACAATATGTAACCTTTCAATTTTTGCTAAACGTCTCCATTAAGGAGTTGAAGGGCCGGCCCGTAAATATTTCTTTTGCACATATATCGGAAACGAAAAAGAATTTCTGAATAGTTGTTGAACAAAAAGTGTTCAAAATCATAAGAGCTTTAAGATGATATCAAGAAAAAGGGACTTGCCCCTCAAAATAAGGGCTGATAGGGGCCGAAAGTCTTTCATCAATAACTCTTAAACGATCAATATTTTGTAATACATTACTAAGGCAGAATAGATCATCTTCACACTCCTTAACTATATAACGTTGTTGGCATCATATGTTTCGTTATAAGGGGACAATAGGGGCCAGAATGCTAAATCTTTGACGTTAAAAAGGGACATTAGGGGCCAGAATGCTAAATCTTTGACGCTTTATATCTCGAAAGTGGAAAATATCTTGATAAGCAATATTGAATAAAAGATGTTCACAATAACGTTCTGAACAATATGTTACCTTTCAATTTTTGCTGAACGTTCCCATTAAGGAGTTGAAGGGCCGGCCCCTATTATTTCTTTTGCAGATATTTCGGAAACGAAAAAAAAATGTAGAATAGTTGTTGAACAAAAAGTGTTCAAAATCATGAGAGCTGTAAGAAGATAGCAAGAAAATAGGGCTGGCCCCTCAAAATAGGGACCAAGACGGGCCGAAAGTCTTTAATCTATAATCTTTAATGATCAACATTTTGTTATAGATTACTGAAGCAAAATTGTTCGTCTTAACAATTTATTTATATCATTATATTTGAACGAAAGTCTCAGTCAAATTCTTATCTCATCTTATCAAAAATCGGACGGAAGACCCACTCGTTGCTCGCAACGAGATCGCATCTAGTTATCCTGTATTCTTGTAAGTGTTGCTGTTCACAAAAAGGTATACCGAAGATGGGGTATATAGTATAATGGAATTTTTTTTCTAGAATGCTCACTCTCAAAGACAAAATAGGATGGTCAGGAAATTGGAATAATTTTAAAGAACCTGCTGGTCTCTGTTAGTTATTTAATTCCATGTTCAGAGATTCTTTTTATTGAGTGACCTCTTGTTTCCCCGGTATAAACAATTCCACCAAATCTTTCGTAATTTGATTTTCCTGTTGGACGTGGTGTTGATGATTAATGTAATTGAATAACCATGATTTGTTTATTTGTCAAATCTCAATTAAAAACACTATTAACACACTGTATTTATTCAACCATTGATAACATAACATTACCTAAGTTAATTATAGTTTTTTTAAATTTAAACAATTTTTTGCACAAAAAGTGATTGGGATTGGGCACCAGGCAAAGCCTATTTTAGCCCTATCCCTAAGTTAATTATAGTTGTTTACTCGATGTAATTAGTCTATATAGGTGCATCTTCATTCCAGAATAAAATTTAAAAAAAATCATTTTGTGTTGAAACGACTTCTTCTTATTTTCTCTTTCTCTTCCTAACAGAACAGATAAAAACAATTCATAACTGCTCATTTATTGTTACTCAATCTGACATATGCAATCCAGATATTGTGTATTATTTATTGTGTTTTATCCAATCAGAATGCTTCTCGATACACCTAACCACTGGAAGAAGCGAGTGCAGCTGCTAAGGCAGCAAGAGTGAGAAGACCAGCACCACCACCTATAATTAAAGGTCCGCCCCTGAAACGTCTTCTGGTAGTAGTTGAAGTAGTTGTGGTAGACATAGTTGTGGTAGTCATGGTCGAACCTGAAACATATGCAAATTCATTAATTGTTCTTGTAGAATGATCCTTCAAAGCTATCTTTTTAAATGTTTTTAATGTGTAAAATCTGATCTACACTTGAAGTACAGGTAATGCCTTTGACACGTGATGTAACACATTGCAACACTTCAACCTTATGGATGATTGCTTTGGAATAAGTGACTTATCTCATTTTATTATATATAAGTTTACATGAATAATTAAATGCGAAGAAATGCACTGCAATTATGAACTATTCAGGACATGAATTTCATAAGCTTATATATACTGTTTGCTTTAAATAACAGATAGTGACTTATCATCATGAACAACAACAACAGCAACAACAAAAAATAAACAAACAAACAAAAACAAAAACTGAACCAAAACAAACAAACAAACAAACAAACAAAATGAATTTCAGCACGTGAAATTATTATCGTTTTTAATGAGGTACATGAGGGCGTTCATTTTACAGTCAATAGTAAACAATTTAACAGGTAAGCCTAATGAACTACTGATACATACTTCCGCAAGTGATCCCTGTATATCCTGCCTCACAGTTACAATAGATTGCCCCGATTTCAACTACACATTCTCCGTTTTTACCACAAGCATCGTCAGCCAGGGGGTTACATGGAGCCGCTAACAGAGAGAAAAAAAATCAAAAGTACATTGAAGAGAACTGGTGAATATATTAAATTGTGCAAAATTGGGATATTTTGTCTTTATGTTGAATTATCTGAAATGAAATTAATGAAAGGATTTGTATTTAATCGTACTTAGAATATGCGATTGGAAATGGGATTTCAAAAGAAACCCATAATACAGGGCGATTCAGCTTACATGTCCCGACTTTGCAGTTTCCAACAAAAAATATTAAGAATTTATAAAAGGAAAATTTTGCAAGAATGCAAAAAACATATCTATACAGTTTTATTAATATTACAGTTTACATAAAGCTGGATTATTATTCTTAAAACAGATATTTTTATACCGCCGAGGCAGTTTTTAATTTAATTAACGTCATTTTATAATATATTCCAAATGGCTGATATGTTTCTCAATTATTATCAGACTAGTTTTGTTTGTAAAGACCCATATTGCTCACTTTTCTTCACAATTCAGACAATCTGTTTTCTAGAATGATGCTTCTCATCTGTGTATTTTTTTTTTCAAAATCCTATTCACTAATATTGGCAATTTTCCGTTTGCATTGTACAGTTTAACAATATCATTATTTATTCATTGCTTAAGACATACATCTTATCACATTTCAACAAAAGCATATAATACAGAATAATACATAATGGCATTGTATGGCGGTTTTTATAGATTACAATTATTCAATACAATATTCAATTCAATACAAAAAATGATTTAATGGAGAATTACACCATGAGAGAAAATTTTCTCTAACCTTAAAAGCATAATGAATCAATTTCTCTAAATTACAGAGATTGTGGATGTTGTGAGCACTTAATAATCGAACAAATTTAAAAACAGATGGCTTCTGCCAATAATACTTCTTGATATATTTTTTTTTTTACAAAACTTTTCAAAATGTGGACAAATTAAAACAAAATGGTATTAATCCTTTACTTCACTTTTACATATTACACATTATTCTATTCTCCCTGAGTATTTTATTATGCCGTCCTGTCTCAATTTCAAGATTATGAGAGGAAAGTCTAATTCGACTAATTTGCTTTTTGTACATAGAAGGTATAGCGCTCTCTTTACCACCAATTTAGTAAAAAAAAAAACTGACTACATAAATTTTGATGATGTTATCAAAATTTTGAAAAAAAAAATATATAAACAATATGATATATTGTTTTTTTTATATTATAATTAGAAATATTGTTGGAAAAAAAACATTATAGATAGTTTCTAAATCAAAAGATTAGGAATACTTTTCATTCACTCATATTTCACTTTTAGCAAAGAATAAATTGAGAATAAATAAAACTAGTTTGTACGTAATATTTTCGTAGAAAAGTCGTTACAAAACCTAAAAGAAAAAAAATCTCATTGACAATTCACTACTTTACCTTCGATTAAAATGTTTGTTTGAAAATCCTATTAAAATATATTCCTGTTTCAAGAAACTTAAGATATCAATGTTATATATGTTTGTTGGTTAATAGAAAAGTCTGTCCTTATATAAAAGTTTTCTATATCATCGAGTTTGTGTCATCAGGTGAACATCTAATGCCCCACAATGTTGTTGATTTGTTATATAAGAAACATAGTGAAGGTTATTAAACAGTGTGCTTACATTCTCAGATATAAATTTATCAATAAATTTAAACGTTTTCCAAAAACAAGTGAGCCTTTATTTCGAGGATCTAAATAAAGATTCCAATGAATACCTTAAATGTTATGTCATATCAAGTTTATTTGCACTTCATATTGAAGTACATACATATATAAGTGTATCAAAAGGATTCCTTACGAATACAAAGGGTTAGAGGAAGTCCATCAACACCAGCTGGAGCATCCTGTGGAAAATAGCCGGTATTACACTGACACTGGGCATCAGCTACGACGCATGTTGATTGTGGTACACAGTCATTGTTCGTGGTGCAATTTCCAAACAGGATTTGTGCTGAAGAGAACTGGAACTGCATGAACAAAGCAAAGCTGAAAAGGAGCATCTGAATTGACCACATTTTCATATGCTCCAGGAGGACAGAGTCTCAATACAATTTAGCTTGTACTTGTAGACTGGTATTTGCAACTGCTCAAATTAATGTTATTTATACAAAAGTTATGAGGAAGCAAACCCATGTGATCAGTTATAAACAACTACTCTGTACAACTCTAATGATACCTAATAGGATGGACGATCAATGATTGACAAAGACCCACGCCTCTGTCTTGTAGCCAATCTATGCATTCTACTCGTTTAAATATTACTGACGCATAGTCAATATGAGCTCTAAAATTTATTTCAATTATCACTGTGTGGAGAGATGAGAAAGTTTCATTTTCTGACTTCAAAAGCGATAAAGCAGACACTTGTTTAACTAGTGGATCAACCCAAGGCAATGTTTGTATATCTCATCAGATTAACAAATTGTATGTTAATTGCATGTTATCAAGAATCCAGTTAGATATTATTGGTGAATGTTTTGTTATCTCAAAATTGAACAACATTTCAATCCGTATCCTCTCGTACCGTTTTTGCATCCTTACATATCTTGCATGTATCCTATCACGTTTTACGTTTAAAGCTCTGTTATTTTCCATTTATCGTGTTTTGCGTTTTATAGGTTTTGCGTTTAGTGTTTGCATTTGGAAGGCATATCTTATTTTAAAGTCTTTTTGCCAGAAACGTTGAGGTATTCTTATGTCCTTTTTATCTTTATTTTCTTTTCTACAATGTCAAAAATGCATTTTTTTCGAATTGTGTATAAACTATCATTTAAAGCCCTGTTCATATGAATGCGTATTAAATTTTTATTTTGAAGTAAATTAATGCAAATCAAATAACATTCAAACGACAGCAACTGCAAAGTAAACTAATGCGCATTAAAATTTGATAATATTTAGATATTTATGATGTTTTTTGCAAATTACGTCACTTTATGTAGAGCAGAGATGTACATCTTACATAATATCAAAATACCTGTGGATATTTTAGTGATTAACATAATTTTCTTTGTTTCTCATTCAGAAAAGCAAAAGTACCGGTCTTTTATTTGACCACTGGTATGTGGCTTGTGACTTAAATTTGCTATTATGAAATATATGGAGATAACGAACCGTATTCAAGCTCAAAAGTCCATTAAACATTACAAAATAGGAGCAGAGCAAACATGGACCTCCAAAACATCAGAGGTGGGATCAGGTGCCATGGAAGAGTGAGCATCCCCTGCCGACCGGTCACACCCGCCGTGTGCTCCTTACGTATGCGTCAAAATTTAATTTGATTTAGCTTCGCTTAGAGTTCACACGAAGTTAATGCAAAGTAATTTGCTGCGCTGTAATTTATTCGAATTATAGTAAATATTTGTATTAAATTTTCCCTGTGAAAGCGGTTAACTTTAATTTGCACTACATTGTAACTTATGCCCTGTTCACACGAAGCGTTTAATTCGAATCAAACGTAAGTTACCGGAAATTAAATTTATAGATGTATTTTGTAGAAATGAATGAAGAATTATTTGCTTGCAATATTAAAGTTCAGGTTACCATAAACTGTTACTTACAAAACTCAAGAAGGATTATTTATACAATTTTTTTAATATCGGTTGCTATATTTCTCTATTTTGGTGTGTAAAATATCTTATTAGTAAAGTGAAGAAAGAAACCGAATTAAAGTATTCCTAATGCTTTGCCAAGTGAATATAATGTGATAGCCTTAAAACGTGATTAATTAAATGGCTATCTCCAATATCATTCTACCTTAATTCTGATGAATAAGGAAGCTATTTTTTCATATCTCTATCCTCTTTAGTCAGTAATTTAAATTCACACCCCTAAGATAAAGTAAAGATTTATTTTTATTGTCTTTAATTTATATATTAAATAAAAAAACTTAAGATGATACATAAATAATCACTTAATCGTTCTCCGTTTTGCAATGCACAATTCAGACCTATTGCTCTAAAACCGATTACCAAACTTGTGCAAAATAGGAACACGCTATCAAAAAATTAAACCTATTGACTTCAAAATATCCCGCTCGTTAGTGAAAGTAAAAGAATAAAAGTGATATACGTCACGACCTACACATAAAGAAACTTGAGGGAGAGTCACTGCGGTTAAAATTCGAGACGCTTTTTATAATACAAGTATTTTTTCACAACTTCTTCTGAGTATTTGCTCACCCAGTAATAGTATGAATGTTAATTGTCACTATTCACATTTTAAGGAGCTTATATGGATAAGGATTATAAGGTTTATAAGGATAAGGATATATAAGGTTTATAAGGATAAGGATTATAAGGTTTATAAGGATAAGGATTATAAGGTTTATAATAGGGATGTCAATTTCGTCGATAATTCATATTCGAATATTCAATGAAAGTATTCGAATATATTCGAATATGCGATAAAATAAATAAAATCTGGTTTAGTTTAAATATGTATCATCCTACTTGAAAGGTTTAGAGTAGGTATACTTATATTGGAAGTAAAATTGTATGAAGACTTTTGTAAATGTAGAATAAGGAATTCCATTTGATATTTATCAATGTTTGAAATAAATATTTAATTTAAATGTAGAAAGGTACCATTTTATTAAATTATACAATCGTGTTTTTATAGTAGCTCCAACTGAGGAACCCGTCGTCTTACCAAAGGCAGGATAGTCGTATACTGTTTAGATTTCAATACGTGCAATTAATTACAATTATCGGCCTAATAAGAAATATGATCATAATCTTTGATACAATGTTTTTAAAATATAAACAACCATTTCCAGAGATAATTTTCATAGGTAATTAACTATTTTCCCGATAATGAAAATAAAATTCAGGATTAAGTATAACCCGTGATAATCAAGTAAATTACACATTTATTCTGAAATTAAGGACATTGGCAAGGTTCCTGGTTATTGTATAGAATTTTTCAAGAACTTTTGAGTAGGTTAAAATGTACTAAATATGCTATATTCTGGATCGTTTTACCTACCAATCCAGCATTCTTTTTTAGATTTTTTCAAATTAGTGTTTTTACAATTCTTAATGCATTTTCCTATGTAAAATGTTGATAAAAGGGACCTACATAATTTTTCACCATAATATTTCTTCAAATCCCATTTATTTCATACAGTTTTTGTATTATATACATTATTGTAACTTCATTTCCTATGACTTCTAGATATTTTGGTTGAAAATATATATATAGAAAAAAGACATGGATATACCGGCACCGATCATCATTTTTCAGTTGCGTCCCTTAACAGCTAAAATAGGTCAAGTGACCGGTTGATTGTTTTTATCATGTAATTGACTGAATTGATTGAAATACATTGTCATAAAAATATTGGCATGGATTTATTTTTAACTTTTATTCGTAATTACGAAATGCTGATTCGTTCACACGACCTAAGAACTGTTCTCAGTCGGCATGGTCGACCTACCTTTCAGCATATGTCACATCTTTGCCCTTCCCAGCATACTGAGCAAAACTATGGTAAATGACGACCTGTTTGCTCTTTGTCCCTGAATACAATGTACAACAAAGCCATTACTACTTTTCTCTCTTGCTGTATAGATGATTCTACCCGTTGAAGGAAGTACACGTGCTTTTGTTTACCTCTATAACATACGCTTTACTGGTTTTCACCGCTTAGAGAATTCTACACGGGAGATCACTCTCAATCACTATTTTACAAGTGAAAAAACCCATGTATTAAACCTTTTTTCTCCGGAAAGCCCTGACTTGCCAATGTCCTTAAGCCCTTTACAAAATTTAATTACAGGCAGCACTCTTTGTCAAGATGTACGTGATGAAAACTCTCCTTTATCGAGGACATAAGTTTGTACAAGTAGGACACAAAAAAGCGTCCAGGCAAAATCACTCTTGATGCAAAATTAAGATGTCCTAACAATTGTTCCAGTTCTTTTCGAGTACAACTCTTTTTGGACAAAATATTTTGAATGAACTTTAATATCCTATCGATTTTGTCTGTAGGTAATCTTGCCTGCATTTTGATGGTGTCTAATGTAATACCTAAGTATTCTAATTGACAGGTGGGTCCGACAGTCTTTTTGTCAGATATTGATAAACGTAGTCGATGGAAAATAGTACACAAAAGTGCCATAGTTCTTTCACCGCACGCGTCCGGTTTATCTATAGTTAGAAAATCGTCTAGTAAATGTAGAATGACATCAACACCATAGTTGTTTTGTGCAATCCAACAAATCGCTGAGGACAAATTGTCAAATAATTTAGGACTTGACCTGCATCCAAAAGGTAGACGTACATAATGATAATAAGAATTTCTCCACTTGAAGCAAAACAAATGATATTGTGTTGGAACAATAGGGATCTGTTCAAAGGCATCTGTCATATCTGTTTTGCACAAAATGCTTCCTTTTCCATATTGTTGTATTTATTTATTGCATCGTCAATTTTCACGTAACTTAAAAAAACACAGTTCTTTATCAATTAGATCATTGATGCTGGGTTCTTCTTTGTTGTGAGGAGAAGATAAATCAAATATCAAGCGTTTTTGCCAGAATAATTATGTGTAGCTATTCCAAAGGGACTTACTCTATATCTTTCAAAAGGAGGAATTGAAAAAGGGCCTTTGACATATCCTTTCATTAATTCGGTATGAAGTCATTCGTCTACTACTTCTGGATATTGTCGAGCTGTCAAAGAGTTTTTACATTCATGAGTATGAAGATTATCACAAGACACTAAGGTATCGAACACATGTTCCAAACTTGAGCACAAATACTGGACGAAGTCGAAATCAGGATGGTTTGAAAGTTCAAGTCTAAGTCTGTCAGTGTTAATGTTTGTGAGGGAATCTAGTCATTTAGATGTAGTAGGAGACGGAGGAGTTTTGTTTTTGCTATTTTCTGACTTTGATTGTTGACACACTAATTTGGAATGACTTGCTTTGCACAATTTGCAAGCATGCAAGTAACGGCAATACGGTTTAGTACAACCTTTGGTGGAGTTGAAATAATAACATATTTGTTCACCTTCTTGAAACTTAACGTCACGGCCATGTACGTCAACTGCATGTCTAATTGAGCGATGGGTCATTGGCTGTCGTGTGTATTGATTTCGTCTGAAAGCTTTTTGTGGACACGTAAGGGCGATATGAATGTTAGAACCACAAAAGTCACAACATTTTACAGGTGAACCAGCACAAACCAATGTTCTTAATTCATGGTCTTCCTTAGACCAGTCGACCTTGACATTTTGTTGAAGCAGCATTGAAGCACACTTATTAGAGAAGATTTGATGGTATTCATAAAACCGTTCTGGCCAAATATTAGCCGTCTCTATGATATGGGCCAGGTACGAATCTAATTCCTCTGTTCTGCTTGGGTATGCATTGCACATAATTCTCTTATATCGTCCAAACGCCACGATAAATTCGTGTTAAATTTCTCAGTAACCTTTCGTCATTTTCTTTGACTTTCTTGTGAGCAGGAGTGGTATAGTTTGGTATGAGTGAGACGTTTAAATTGACGTCCTTACCTGCTACTATGTCCGATCGAACCTCTGGAGATACCAAATCAACGGCTGAAATTTGTGATGAGAGAGTTCCTGGATCCGAATTAGTCATAGCAGTGCTTAAATTAAATGATCTCCCTTCTGTAGTTTTGCTCATTGTGTTGCCTAAAGTGGAAATGGCTTGCTGACAAAGTTGTAAAGAAGTTAGAAGAACGTTCTGATTGTCGACCGCCATTGTTGTTGTTGCCGGAAGTGAAGTCTGGGTAGGTAATAGCGTACTAGACGGTCTTGCCAAATCCGGATTTACATTAGTCATCTGACCTGTCTGATTTGCATTTGGAATTGGTATGGAAGTGTTAGCCTGTATTCCTACAACATTTCCCGACGACGAATCAACAGGAACAGGATTGCTAGCCAGTAATCCGGAAGATACAGCATTAAGTTGATTAACATTGTTCACGTTGTTTCCAACATTGTCCAAATAAATTCTTTTTAACACATTATGTGAGAGTTGCACATTCAATACAATACCGATATCCGCTAATTTTTGTTTCAAAACAGCTACTTTCCAATTGGAAGGATTGTCAGTTTCTTCCATTTGCACTAAGTTTGAACGAGATCGTGAACTACGACCCGTAGCCATTGTTCAAAGTTCAGAGTTCAATCACAAAAATTGATACAATCCAGAATGTACCGGTTTTAATATAGTACATCTATGATAAAACACTGCTAATAGATAGTTAAAATCGTAAATTCACCACGATTGGTAAGTCCGCACAGCAAGGATGTCATAAGATTTAGATAATATTTCACAGGATAACAATGGCTACTGACGCTGTAATATAAACTGAAAGCGAGGCTGTCTAAAAATAACAGAACACATAATGAGGTACCAAAAGGGAAATTAACCAATTCCCTCAGCATTCTGACAAGTTACGATATAAATATATATAAACAAAGATTATTAAAATAATCAACAATTAAATTTATTAGGATAAGTTTTCTCTTCACGTCTTTTAGACATTCTAAGAAGGTTTGCCTTTTGTTGTCCTCGATTCTATATCCGATTGTATTTAACAAATAAAAAAAAGTATGAAAGTACGTTTTGTATTATACATAAAACATTAATGTATAATTCATTAACATCTTAATCAAAACAAAATAATTTAGTAGATCTATACGTGAAAGAAATCAGGCGATCAAAATTGATCGCTTGTAAATTAAAGGGGATATCTAATCAAAATTTACTAATCGCAGTACTTCTTTTAATGAAATCTGAAAAATACCGAATATTCGAATCTTGAATTCATATTCGAATTTCAACTCATCGAATGAATATTCGAATGTTCGAATATTCGTTGACATCCCTAGTTTATAAGGATAAGGATTATAAAGTTTGTAAGGATTAATGTTATAAACGATTAATAAAGTATACATTGTATTATGTAGGTCGTGGCCACAAACGCCAACTCAAAAATAAATAATTATTAGAAGTTATACTCTTCATTGTCTTTAATCATTATTTGCAGGAGATTTTAGCCTATCCGTTGATACACAGAAGCTTGTGATGTTATGGGAAGTATTACCTGCTAATAATAGTCTTGTTCTGCCGCCTACCTCCGGGTCAATTTTCAAAAGTAAACATATTTAAGTGATTTTTTATATTTATATATATTTCTATGAATTGTGAAACAACAAGAGAAACTCTGTAATTTTAAAATTTGTGTTTTTAAACTATAGAAAATCAACGGAGAACGCGAACAGATAATATTTCAAAAACATCCCCCTCCCCCCTCTCCTTGAAATGAAATATGGAGAAGAGCAAACACGGACCTCCAAAAACATCAGAGGTGGGGTCAGGTGCCATGGAGGAGTGAGCATCCCCTGCCGACCGGTCACACCCGCCGTTTGCTCCTTGTCATGATCGGGAAATAACGGCAAAATCCATTGACAATTCAGTGTGTAAATAATGGCCTAACAATTTGTATGAAAAACGTCAGTCAGCATTTGACTTAATGAAAGATTGTATTTGCTGACAAGGTCATTGTATCGACCATAGAACTTACGAAATGATGACTTTAAACGAAACTGCTGATATTCTTGTTTCAACAACTTCTTTGTCAATAACTTACCTCGTTTTAGAAATTGGATATAGGTAGGGCATGCTCTTGCGTATCGAATCAACTGAGAGATATATACCCAATATGCAGGTGATAAAGGTATATTGCTGCATAATAAAGGGAAGTTGACGATTGAAAAGTTAGAGTCATCACGTTTATCATAAAGCTTTGTTGCTAAATTACAACTAACCTCTTTTTCTAGTAAAATATCCAAACATGAAACAGTTGTGTCAGACTCTGTGGTATCTTTTATTTCAAGCTCACTGGGATATATCGTGAATGGAAATAATTATTGTTAATTGATAATACATCGTCAATATATCGAAATGTCGAGTTGAAGGCCATAGCACGAGATTTCTTTTTCTCATGTATAAAATTTTGAATAAATTCTGCTTCAGATGAATGCAAAAATAGATCTGCTAACAACGGGGTGCAGTTGGTAATCGGGGGAATACCAACAGATTGTTGGAAGACCTGGTCTTCCAAATACGACACATAGGCATCGAAAAGAAATTGAAAGTGGGGTGGCTAATTGGAAGTGGGGGGGGGGGGGCTAAACCAACGTAAAAAGGAAAGTTCCAATTTTCAATGCCTATGTAATATCTATCTTTGCAAAAAATGGGGGGGGGTTAAGCCCCCTAGCCCCCCCCCCCCCCGCCTATGCGACATAGTTATTGTCGATCAGAAACTCCATCATCTTTTTAATTTCAACTTCAGAGTACTTGTGTGTACAATCAGAATGTTTTTTAACAAAATAATTTTGCAAATGACCAATGACACAAGGTAAGTAAATTACCGAGTTCCATTTTTATTAAAAAAAGCAGCTGTCAATTTTGTCAAAAGCCTGAACTTTAATTTATCGTTAAGTCCTTTTTACAGATATTATGAATATTATGTAAAAAATTCATACCAAAGGTTTTGTTGTTTCACGGGGGAGGGGATATGTTTACTGCCCCTCCCCCCATATAAAACATCAAAAATGTTCATTTTATTACCAATTTTAAATGAGATTAATATTGAATGGTTGTACTATGTTAATCTAACATATCTTTAATTTTACATATGTTAAAAATACCGAAAGATATAAAGGTTATTTATCCATATGCATGAGTACTTAAAAATCTGATTGTGTTCGAAAGCCTGATTTTAATAGATTGTACTTTACACTCGCTATTAGCCTTTACTTAAACACTAGGAAGACCTTTGTGTATCAACTATACATGTGTTACTGCTTCCAAACAAACGAAAAATATGGTGTTTTTTGAAACAGACATATATGTAACAGTAACTTGATCCGAAGACCTAGATCAAATCGAGTTGACTGGCGCGGTTCATTCGATCCAATGAGACGCTAAGCGTCGAGTTTGATTTGATGATCTGCACTTACCATTGGGAATTGATTCTGTTGTTATTTAGATACTGTTATGATGAAAAATTCATTATGTACGCCTCTATTTCTAGCTAAGTATATTTAAAGAAATTCTGTGATCAATTATACAACGTTTCACGCACACAGGTTCAAAGAACTTTTTATTTGCATGAAAAAAAACGTCATTTATGCTACGTCGTCAGTTTCGGAGAGTCGTGATATGGATTAAGAAATTATTCTGTACTTGCTATTTTTTTATTACTTCATTCTTGAAAAAAGTATACAAAAAAATAAGTAACTTCTCTCCAATAGATCTTAAAGGTGCACAGGTATCCTTCCCCTCCTTCACTTTTTTTTCTTTTTTGCTTTGAACTCCGACTATTATTTGGTAACACGAAAGGATTGAAGCAGAGAGTGAGCACAAAATAGGTTATAATAAAGGAAAGTGTTGAAGTTCAGCGATCATAAGTTCGTGATGAGAAAACTTCAATCTACAAACTCAGTTGTCCATTTAAAAATTACATACTGAGAGCAGAGGGTACCAATGAAAGCATCAAAGTTGGGATCAGGTGCCGTGGAAAAGTAAGTACCCCATGTGGACCGGTCACAACCCCGTGAGGCTTGATCCCTTTATTTTGATTGGGTAAAATAGTACTTGTATACAATTCAGGATGAAAATATTGGCCTAACACTCTGCATTAAAAACAACAGTCAACATTCTGCATAACGATATTTTGTATTCAAAAAGGGGGTTATAGTGTCGACCAAAGAATTTGCGAAATGCTATATTTCAAATGAGATTGTCGATGCGCTTGTAACATCAACTTATTTGTCAGTAAGAAATTGATCGTGCGAAGAATTTCTTACGAATCAACTGGGAGACATAAACAACATATGCAGACGATAATAGTAGATTTATTGCATAAATAAAGAGAATTAGAAAAGTCGAAGTCATCACTTTTACCACAAAAAATAGTTGCTGTTTTGCCATCAATGTCTTTCTCTACTTAAACACCCAAATATGAAAATGACGTGTCAAACTGTGGCGTCTTTATTACGAGATCAGTGGGATATAGCATAGTATGAATGAAAATGAATATTGTAAATGAAAAACACATAGTCAGTATATCTATTTGTTGAATTGTAGGCTATAGCAAGAGACTTCGGTTTTTCATGTAGAAGTTTTTGAATAATTAAATTCTCATCATAAGAATACAGAAACAGACCTGCTTATAAAGGGGCACAATTAGTATCCATTGGAATTCTAACAGACTGTTGGAAACCTGGCTCCGAGACCATAAACGGAGAACAGACTTAAGTCAGAATTTCGAATCAATTTAATTTTTAAAATAATTTTGACAATGAAACAATTTTTTCTCCATATGTATAGATTTTAGTAATATACACACCTGCAAAGTTTCATGTAAATAAGTTAATTAGAACTCAAGATATTTAAAATCAAAATTTTGACTTAAGTCTGTTCTCAGTTTATGGTTTTGAGGCCTGGGCTAAGAAGACTACATATATAATGTAGAAATTTTAAATTAGGAATCCCACAATTGTCATAATATCGAATTCAAAGTACTTGTATGTAAAATCAGAATGATTTTTTTCAAAATAATTTTCTAGGTGACTAAATACAAGATATGAGTGTTCATTGTTTATTGAAAGCAGTTTTCAATTCGTATTAATCGTCAGAAATACTTTCTGATGATTATGCTGGTCACTTTTAATGCTGAATTTCTCATGTTGAAACAGATTTTGAAACAGAAAATTTCTTCCTATAGTGATTCATTTTTCATATCTAAATTCAATAAACTGTATGAATATACCGTTTTATTCAGACATTGATTATGCTGTACGTGTACTAAAATTGACGTATTCAAAATTTAGCGCAGTCACCGGGTATGTCGGAAGTGGTCGGCGCAATCATGAATTAGCTGTACTAAAGTACCGCTAAAATAAAAAAAAGGATATTTATTCAGTTTTAGACAAAATAGTTTACTCGAATATTTTAAGCAAATATTAAGGTATGATTATCAGTGTTAAAATAAACGTGTTCACCTAGCCGTATTTAGCCTTATGGTAGGTCAAAATCGATTGACAATTTTAACGATCTTAATGCAAATAACCAACAAAAAAAAGTCGTTATTACCCACCAAATACAGTCATTAAGGGTATTGCGAATCACCTTTTTACATTTTGACTGCAAACGATTTTATTAACAGGTTTATGAATGGTTGTTTGGTATTAAAGGAACGCCAATTCTATGAAAATCAGATCTACCTTATAGGGTCAGTCTATCTTCGATACAGCAACCTTGACAGGGGTTATATTTACATAACCTTTTTAGTGTATTGCGGGTCACTTCCGGATATTTCGAATCACCAAGTAAATGAGTTAAAAACGGTCAGATAACAACATAATAATTAATGAATTAGTTGGTATGTCTCTAAATATAAGATGAATTATTTTCTTGTTGATTAATATTGTTCTTGTTTATTTTAAAGTTATTAAAGCCCCCTCTGCAGTCTCCCTATAAAACAGCGTTCTCTGACGCTGATCATGCAGAAAAGCAATTACCAACAACATAATGGTTCCAGAAATTACTTAACTGTAAATTGTTGTCCTGTAAATATAATTATGCAAATTTATTTCTCAATCTGAATTGTTCTTTAATGCAAAACAATTAACATTGAAAATGTAATACTTAATCATAATTCTATGAGTAGGCTACCAAAGAAAAAAAAAAGAAAAATGATATTAATAATGATGAAAATAAAAAAAAATATTAAAAGGAATTAAAGCAACTCATGTTTAAATATCAAGAATATCAAGTATGGCATATATTACTGCATAACTTGCACATATATGTGTACACATGCATGTCTGTATTTGTATCATAAAATGATCAACACTGATCAAGTGTATACCCGGACTAGTCTTATTACAATGTAGCTCTTGCTTTGTAAAATCATTACTTTCATATGCCCCTTGCTTTTAAGAAAACCAGTGTTATAAAAATATATCTGACATATAACAAATGTTAGAATGTGCAATTCCTTCGGCTGCGGTCATGTACACACGTGGTTCAAAATATTCCAAACTTTCGGGGGCTACCAATGCTGCCAAAACTAATAAATATATAATGTGTTATCAAAAGCAATTTATGCTCATGGAAGGTTTTAAAATTGCCGTTCTATCAATAACTAATATACTATGTTTCATCCTCCAACAACAATGAATTGACACAGCTCGCTGTTTTTAAGAAAGAGTTAATAATTCATTTATTAACAGAATTCATGAATTAGCGCATCGTTGTCTGCGCGAAAGCCGCTGAAATATGAAGCCCGTTTTTTAAAGTACACATACAGTATATAACAACACAGAAAGTTAAATTTGATTACACTATGAAATGCTTTATTGAAGAACAACTGCTTTCCAGAATTAAATTTTTAAAAATACCAACGATATTTTGTCTCGTAAAATTACTTTCTTGTTCTTTTCTATCTTCCTCGTCTAAACAGAAAAGATAAAAAGATTAAATGCTGTTCATTTTTTATTTATATAAACTGACAGATACTATCCAGATACTCCGCATCATTTATTGAGTTTGATACAACAGAGCTTCGGGAAACACCTATCCGCTGGATGAAGCGAGCGCAGCTGCTATTGCAGCAAGAGTGATAAGGCCAGCACCACCACCCAGAACTGCCGGAAGAATGTTAACTTTTCTCGTGGTAGTGCTAGTTGTAGTTGTACTTGTAGTCATCATAGTTGAGGTTTTAGCTGCAAAAGATATATATATTCATTGATTAATATAATAAAATGGGGTTTGTTCCCGTTTTGCACAGATTTGAATTACAGGTATTGAAAAAATGTGTGCAAAACGGGAATTTGTCCAGGTAAGATGGTTAATGGTTGTTATTAATTTGTATTATTTTTTAAATTAGCAAACAAGAATCGATAAATGTACTACAGGTGAATACTTTGATATGCGAGAACATGTTGTAGTCTTGTTAAATGGTTATCGTTAACTGTGTTGTTTTTAATATATAAAATTGATCCCTTCTTCATCTACAGGTAAGGAAGTTATAATGAAAGACGAACACATCGTTACACTTTACCTTACGGATGTAAGTGACACATTTGTTATACTTTAAGCTTACATGAATCAGGTCTACACCGTCAAAAATTGCTCTGCATTCCGAACAATGACATATGAAGATAACGAGCAGAAAATATGCTCAAAAGCCCCAATAAACAATACATATTGAGGACAGAGCAATCACTGACGCCTGAAATTCATGTAAATTTTAGTAATGATATGATGGTCCATAAGCATATGATGATTTTATATACCGAGAAAAGAAAATGAAGTACTGCATGCATAATTATCTTTTTTCGTGACGTCATTTAGGGTTGTACTTTTTACTTTCAAATGCATTTCATAATTTAATTTAAGATCATTGAAAAAAAAAAAAACCTGATACGTACTTTCGCATTCGACTCCCGTATATCCTGGGTCACAAACACAGTAGATTCTCCCCGCACCAACTACACAGTACCCATCGCCATTACAGGCATTTTCATCCAGCGGGTCACACTTAGACGCTAACAGAGATAAAATCAAAAGTACAAACTACATGGTAGAGAACTAATAATAAATACATTGAATTCTGATACACAAATTCTTTGTTATTTAATCTTTCTGGATTATCTCAAATAGAATATCATATTGTTGAATTGTTTTGTATCTATTCGAAATTTAAATGTATGAAGAAATTTAATAAGGAAACTGCAACGATTTTTCCAACGTTTCCTTTATGAAAAGATTAAGAACACTTTTCATTCACTTCATGGTTCCGTCTGTGCTAATTCTACTGCATATGTTAACACCAACTTTAGAAGTAATAGTAAATCAAAAGGATTCCTTACCAATACAAAGGGTTAGAGGAAGTCCCTCAATATCAGCTGGAGCGTCCTGGGGAAAGTAGCCTTCTTCACACTCACATTGGCCATCGACACATTCTGAGTATGGTGGACACTCAGCGTTCGTGGTGCAATTTCCAAACAGGATTTGTGCTGAAGAGAACTGGAACTGCATGAACAAAGCAAAGCTGAAAAGGAGCATCTGAATTGACCACATTTTCATATGCTCCAGGAGGACAGAGTCGCAATACAATAAAATTGTACTTGTAGACTGGTGCTTGCAACTGCTCAAATTTATGTTATTTATACAAAAGTTATGATTGCGTAAATGCATGTGAACAGTTATAGACAAATAAGAATCTAATAGTTTTGAAGAGGACGGACGATCAATGATTGACAAGTTTGTCAATTAATCAATCTTTACATGCTGCATAATTACATGTTACTAGGGGATAGCCGATAACAACTTTTCTACTCAGAATAGATTTTCAATAATAACAGGGCGGAGAAAAGAGAAAGAGGCACTGCCACTTTCTCACTTTTTGAAAGAAAAAAAATCTGTATAGGAAAAGAAAACTATACACTCAATAAACTGGTGGATTAACATTAAGTTTCCAGAGGTCTGTGTTTGCTTTGCTTTCAAAGTTTGATCATCTTAATTCTTTATGTCAGATTAATAGGCTGTTTTGAAGGCTTTTAACAGTACTTAATTCTTTTAAAATATATACTACAATACCCATAATTAGTCTTAACACCAGGTAGGTCTGCATCGAATCGTTTATTTGGTATACTATTAAAATAGTTATATCCACCAATTAGTTAAATAAATGTTTTTGGAAGAGAATTTCAAAAATATTTTCCCTTATTTTTTTATTATTTGGGACTGTCAAGCAATCAATCATAAATTTTGAAATTATATAAAGACAATTTTTACAAGATAAACATAATATGCTGAAATGTTTAAGCACGAGATATATCTATAGCGCACATTCTTGAAAATATATAAGTATGTAGTGCTGATATTTTATGGCAAACTTACATTTTGGTATATGAAATATATGGTAATAACGAACAGTATTCAAGCTCAAAAGTCCATTAAACAATACAAATGTTGGCGCAGAGCAAACACGGACCTCTAAGACATCAGAGGTGGGATCAGGTGCTATGGAGGACTGAGCACCCCCTGACGACCGGTCACACCCGCCGTGTGCTCCTTGTCATGATCGGGAAATAACGGCAAAATCCGTTGACAATTCAGTGTGTAAATAATGGCATAACAATCAGTATGAAAAACGCCAGTCAGCATTTGACTTAATGATATAGATTGTATTTGCTGATAAGGTCAATGTATTGACCATAGAACTTACAAAATGATGACTTTAAACGAGACCGCTGATATTCTTGCTTCAACAACTTGTTTGTCAGTAACTTACCTCGATTTTGAAATTGGTCATACGTAGAGCATGCTCTTGCGTATCGAATTAACTGAGAGATACAAACCCCCTATGCAGCTGATAAAGGTACGTGTATATTGCTGCATATGTAAGGGAAGTTGACGATTGAAAAAGTTAAAATCATCACGTTTATCATAAAGCTTGGTTGTTAGATTACCATTAACGTCTTTTTCTAGTAAGATATCCAAATATGAAACAGTTGTGTCAGACTGTGGTATCCTTCATTTCCAGTCACAAGTGTGGTGAAATAGACAATATAGAACATCTTCTATATAAGTGTAATGATTCTTCAAATATATGGAAAAAAGTAAGTGAATCATTAAAGTGCAATATTGGCTGGAAAAATATAGTTATTGGGTTTTTTTAAGAAAGTCAGTTTCAACTCAACATAAATGTTTAACATACTCGTTTCTTATATAGCTCTGAAAATATTTAAATGTAAAATGAAATGTCGTGTAAATTGTGAACCATGTCTTACTGAAAATTTGATAAAATTTGAGAAAAGCTATTTATTCATGTACTATAATATCATAAAAATGTCACAAAAAATTCTAAACTAGCTGAAATGTGTATAAATGTTGAAAGACATATGTAATTTTTAGTTAATAGAGTATTTTTTCTTCATGTAAAATATTTATTATTAATTATATAATAACATGAAATCCAATGCTTCTTGGGTAGCCTGACCAAAGAAGCATGTTAACAACTGGGGTCAATATGGACTTTGGAAGGCGAATTGGAACCTCCACGATAACACGGATTTCATAAGTAGTAAATTTTTATACACATCACCTGTAAATTTTAATTTTACCTCGACCCTCTTGTATTATCTGACCGTTTAAAGGGAAAAGAAGTCAAGAATAACTCAACGTTTATATTCAAGATTATAATCGGATATCATTTGTGCTGTATAATTAGATACTATGAAACGGAAAAAAATTACGGAATACTTTTAGATCAATTTTGTTTATAGAAATTTATCAATTTTTTCATTGTTATATTCTGAAAAAAAAAGAAAGATTGTCATTGTACTATTATTATTTATAATATCAATGTATATATAGATCTATGCTATCCAATCCAGAGAACCGTAGGCACACCTGGTGCGAATTATAATGGGGTCTCTGAGGAGACTTTACCCCAAAATATCTTTATGTAAAATCTGAATAAAAGGAAAAAAATCTTTCATATCAAGCTCACCGGGATATATCGTATCGAAATAAGACTGAAAATAACCATTGTTAATTGACAATACGTCGTCGATATTTCTACTCAGCGCTGTTAATGCGTACTATGAAGAAATGAACGAAATATAAACGTGCATAAATACATACCTTTTTAAACTGAAATTATTTTTGTAAAGTTACCATGTTATCACATGACTTTAATATTATTTGAAATACATTTGTATACTCCGCTATGTACTGAATTTGATTTGGTCACATTATTTGAGTCACGTGATAAATGCATGTAATGTGTACTGTATGTAGGTCACAAACAAATTTCAATATCGCAAGGGCATATCCTAGTCAAAAATTGAAAATTTAAGCAATTAATTATTTCTACATAACTTGTAGTTTATGGAAAGTGCTGCTGCTTTAAATAGAATTCGCATTTTATTAGTTTAAATTTCAAGTTATTTAGCTCTAGTCGAAATATGCGTGACCTTTACCAAGTATTTTATGTATTCATTAAGTTATGCTCTCAATTTCAGGAAAGCAGCAGCACTTTTCAAGTTAAGGTAGCTAGGGACACCTGACCCCAAAAAAACCTACCAATAGATTTTGCTGAAATTTTCACATGGTGCAAAGGAATGTGTAATGAACATTTAGTGGAAGTATGAACATGGCATTGAGGGTTAATTACGGAACCAGGGGATCATGAATTACCTCCCCTTTCCAGTCACTCCAAAAATCATAATACGATATATATATTACCCATAAAAAATTATTATGCAATATGCATTCATTATCAAAAATTACTTTTAAAAAATTTTGTTACTATAAACTTATTTTAACAATGGATTGTCTGAACAGAGATAAATTAAAAGAATAGTGCTTATAAAATGTTTTAAATTCAACAAATTTGACTATTTTCATGCACACAAATTTGACACTTTTTAAATTCTAAAAAAAATTCTGTCCAATAGAATTTTTATTTTTTATCATTACATGAAAGATTTATCTAATACCATTCTTCATTCAAAAAATCTTGGTCACATTGAGGGCTAATAAAGGTACCAAATGGTCCACAACTATCCCCCCCCCCTTTTTGTTTTCCCGTCATGAAAATAAGAATAATGATTGAAGTGCTATTAAAAAAAATTGCAAAGTAAATTAGAAAAAAAAATTAAAGAAATAAATCAGAACAACAAAACAATTATTAATAAATGAATCATGAAAATATTTATATGACATTAGGCGAGATCATAGAGTAATGACATGATGAGTTACCTCCCCTCTCCCCTCACTCTAAAACTTATAATTTATCCAATATTGAAATAATCCATGAAAAATTAATTGTTAAATATATGCTTTATTTTTAAAATTCTTCTTAAACAAAATTAAAAATATGAATTTATAGGTCAACAATAGATTACTTGAATAGAAATGTAATTTTAAAAGAAAACACATGTAAAAACTCTTCAACCTTAACAATTTTGATTACTTTCATGCAAACATATTCTATATTTTCTTAAACAAGATCTAAAAAAGTCTGCTCAAATAGATTTTTTTATATTATCATGTGAAAAATTTCTCCAATACTATTCCTCACTCAAAAATCTTGCCACATTGAGGGCTAATTAACTAAAGGTACCAAATGCCCCCTATCCCCCAGCCCACTCCATTTTCCAGAATTGAAAATGAGAATCAAAATGGGTGTGCTTTTAAAAAAATACAAAACAGAATGTGACTCAATATTTAATTGATACTACAAAAACCTTATTTTATGTCAAATTTAAATTATATTCCACTTGAATAGAAGTAGGGATTGAATAGAAGTATTCCACTTCTCCCAGTCAAATAAATATGACTATTATAATGAACTAAAACACCCATATTATTTGCATTTAATTTTTTTTCATTGCAATGTCAAAAAGCCCCTTGTTACATGTCAAATATATGCACCTTTGCCAGAAAAAAAAACATCCTTGGTCATGCTTACTGAGACAAAATAAATACATTTGACATAGATTGCACAACACACATAATTCTATTGCATAGAAAAAAAAGAATATCATTGAAAAAATATGATCAGCAATCTTTCAAATTGAATAAAAGTAATTTCATTCAATCAAACATATAGGAGCAGGTAGAATGATAACATTGATAGTCTAAGGAAAACATATTGTAACAGGGACCTTGACCTGAGACATACATAAATTATATGTAAAAATTAAAAAAACAAAATGACAACATGAGAACAGCCCATTACTGCACTTAACACTTCATACAGGACATTTTATATGTTGAATGAAAATGAAGAGTCTACATGAATATGTGGAGCAGCTGATTAACAAACATGACACACACTCACATAGATTATGCATAATAAAGAATAGTCTATATGTTGAGCGGCCTATTACCGAACCCAACATAACACTTGCACAGTAGATTATGCATAAATTTTTTGAAAAAGAATAGTCTGTAGCAGCCTATTACCACACCTGACATACATGTAACACTCACATAGTACATTATTCATGAAAATTTTTAAAAAGTCTACCACACCAGACATAACACTCACAGAGTAGATTATAAGTGAAAAATGACTAAAAGTCTATATTTGGAGTGGTCTGTTACAACTTCAGATGTAACACTCAAACA